AGCCATGCCAGATGGTTCAGCCTTACCTAATTTATGTCTTCTTGGCTTATTCTCCATGGTCACTTTATTGATCCTTGGGCGATATGAACTTGTCGGACCCTCTTAATGGTTATTATCTTGGGAGTTTGTTCTAGTTTCTTTGGTTTCAAAGGATGGTCTGGCTACACGGTACAATTTGGACGCCTGATTCGGGGTTGAATCTCGTGTCATTGGAATTGCTCTCTGGTTTTCGCCTACTTGGTTTACTTGGGGGTGTCTTTGCTTTGAACAAAGTGTACGAGTTTTCTTTTTACTTTCTTTGATTTAGGTTTTTAGCTTGAGGACCGACATGGCCGGGAAAGAGGCATTGTACGGGACTGCTTGGGATGCTTTCTGGGGGCGAGTACAATCTCGCCATCACCAGGAATGCTTACGGCGAAACACGGCGGCCTGAAGAGGAGGGTTTTGACTGAGGTGACCCTCGATGATGAAACGAACTTTCCTTAGTGTGTAATTCCATTATTCAACATCATTATTATAATTGCCTCTGGTCCTAGTGTTTGTATCTTGCTGTGGACATGCGCTTCTACGACTGAAGGCGATCTGCGTGCCAGAGGCTGGGTCAACATGACTGAAAAGTCCGGTGAGTGCCCGGGGTCTGAAAGAATGCAACCCTAAAGACATTGGTTCTTATTGGGCTTTTAATTGATCAGCAGTCATCTTCAGGGCAGCAACGCATGACATCGCATTGCTTTACACATGCATGCAGCACGAATCTTGCTCTCTGGTTGATCGGTCCCTTTCCTCATCTCCAGCACGTATTTGAAAGCACCCCTCAGCGATAGTTGACCCTCCTTGCATGGGTATATCACTCAGGCTAAAGGTCCCTTGAGTCTGTTCCTCCAATCAACAGGCCTGACAACCCAATGGTTTCAACCCTTGGAGCTGCGTGATACACGTGTCGCCTTCTTATTCAGACTTGCCTCTTTGATTCTAGCGAGCGGAGCCTCGGAAAGCAACCCTATTCAGGATTCCACAGGCCGGATGCCATGAGAATATAGCTATTGGCTTGCCATCGAATACAAACTCTATGATTTCCGCATCATCAGTCGGACGGTATGTCAGTCGGACGGTTCTCTGGTGGGTATGTAAGGGAGAGCATGATTAAGGTCATCCCAGAGTATGGAAGCGTCCCCAATCGCCAGTTTAGGCTCGCCCCGGGCCGTACTTAGGCAAATACTAGGCCTAGTGCCCGTTCAAAGATGGACCCCAGATGCCATGTGCTGTATCTCTGGGGCATGCTCGAATTTCCCACGGGTCGCTATCGTTGAAACGAATCCAGTCTCGCCCGTTATAGTGACGACGTAGTGACGATATACTGAGCCGAGAAGACTGGCGGGAGAGCATGGGTGTCAGCCCCAGCACCATCCCAGTAGTTTCTCCGACCTCCCTCCCGCAATCAAGAAATATTCAAGGTGAGTGCCTCGACTGCTGACCAGGGAGAGATCAGTCCATCGAATCATTCTGTGGGGCGATGCCTCCAGGAACTTGCGGTGGCCCTAATGCACCACCTTCATATCGAGTAGATCTTTTGGGAACACATCGCGGCTGTGAGAAAATACCGCTCCTGAATCTTTCAATCTGCGGGGAATAGACAGTGAAGGAAGACGTAGCTCTCGTAGTTTTGGTCGCCGTCATTCAAGCGCCATCTAGCGCAGCGCAAGACCACATTCTCCAGGAAATGGCAGAGGAAACCAAGCCCGAGGCGCAAGAGCTTCGCGCTAAATCCTCGTCGCCCACCCAACAACCCTCAGCAGCAGGGCCGCTCTCCTCCAAATCGCCATCCAAATCACCATCCAAGTCGCCTCAAGGAGCTACGCTACCGCCCGAGCCAACAGGCCATCTCGAGGCCGAGGAGGAGGGCGCCATTAGTGACGAAGGCTCTGACCCCGGCGCCGACGACGTGCAGAGCTCGACGGCCTCGCTCAGCAGCACCATCTACAAGTTCCGCGAGGAGAACGGCCGGACGTACCACGCGCACAAGGACGGCGCCTACGTCGCGCCCAACGACCAGCTCGAGCAGGAGCGCCTCGACTTCCAGCACGCCCTCGTCCTCCTCACCTTTGACAACCGCCTGTACTTTGCGCCCCTCGACCGGCCCAGGCGCGTCCTCGACGTCGGCACGGGCACGGGCTGCTGGGCCATCGATTTTGCCGACGACCACCCCTCGGCCACCGTCATCGGCATCGACCTGAGCCCCATCCAGCCCAGCCTCGTGCCCCCCAACGTCGAGTTCCAGGTCGACGACCTCGAGGACGACTGGACCTTCAGCGAGCCCTTTGACTACATCTACACGCGCTTCATGACCGTCTCCTTCGCCAACTGGCCGCGCTTCTTCGAGCAGAGCATGCGGCACCTCACCCCGGGCGGGTGGCTCGAGGTCGTCGACATCCTGCCCCCCGTCTCCGACGACGGCACCATGTCGCCCGACACGGCGCTGTACAAGTGGTCCAACTACCTGCTCGAGGGCACCGAGAAGATCGGCCGGCCGTTTGGGGGCACGGCCAAGTACAAGGAGCAGATGCAGGAGGCGGGGTACCAGGACGTCGTGCAGCATGTTTACAAGTGGCCGCAGAACAGGTGGCCCAAGGATCCCAAGTACAAGGAGCTAGGCAAGTCAAAATCTTCTTAACATTAGAGCCAACTCCCAAACTCAGAGAGAACTAACCATCTGCAGGTACCTGGACTCTCGAGAACATCTCCAGCGGTCTGGAAGCCATCAGCAACGCTCTCTTCACGCGTGTTCTGGGCTGGACTAAGCCAGAGCTCGACGTCTTCCTTGTCCAAGTCAGAAAAGACATCAAGAATCCTGCGATACATGCTTACTGGCCCATGTAAGTTCTCCTCGTACTTCCAAGATTTTGGCGTTTCAGAATTGACTTTGGGCGCAGCTACGTCATTTATGGGCAGAAACCCAAATAGACACGGGATTTAGAGTTGTAGCTAATGCGTGCGGAGCCTGGGAGATTATTTTTTTTTGAAGTTCAGCATGTTTTTTCGTCAATTGGGCGGAGTGGGAGATGTCCCCATCTCCTCCTCTCAAAGCATCGTGGGCTTTGCGAAAAAGGCAATCCCTTTGGTTTTTTATCGAGCAAGGTTCGAGCATCCCATTCAACGACCTTAATGAGTAATGATGTTCAGTAGCTATTCATAATACACGACAATTTGGCAGTTATTCATTCAAAGTTGGCCCGGAAAGAAGCACTGTTTCTGGGATTCTTGGGCGAACTCTACATAATCATGATGAACATCTTGTTGTATGACACCTAGAGCTGTTTGCCCACAGACATATCATATCCCCTTACAAAGCGCTATTCTACTTGCAGATCTTTGAAATCCTCAAGCAGCTCGGGCCTCTCCTTTTCCGCATTGATTCTCCTCCAGGACTTGGGATACCCTCTCTGGATCCTCCACTTCTCTGCACCTCGTCGCACCGCCTTGACATACTTCTCCCTCCAGCCCCCCTTCACATCTCCAGCATTGCCAATCACAGATCCAAGCTCCCAGGCAAGCAGGCTCTCTGCCCTCGCACCCTCCGGCGCCCATAGCAGCCCGGCCGCGACATCTAGCATCTCCGGACGGTCGTCGACGGCGTAGAACACCGAGGCAGAGCAGCGCGAGCAAAAGTACCGCTGCACGTCCGGCGAGCTCGCGTACAGGGACAAGGTACCCAGCCGCGGATCTCTGTCAGCACTCGAGATGGCCTCCTTGAGCTGGAGCGTGTCGGCGGGGAAGGGCTTGCCTGTGTTCTCGGCAAACTCGACCTGCTGAGCGAGGACAAAGGTCCAGTGGACCATGTCGACGCCGAACATGGGCCGGCAGGAGTCGCATGGGTCGAAGCCGCACATGTGCTTGAGGTTTTCGGGATTGATGAACCAGGGGAGCTCCTTGCCTGAGTCTTTCATCTTTAGAAATTCGCTGTCCATGCGTCGTACTTTTAGGTTTACGCCCTTGCAGTGACATTGGAGGGGGATCAGGTCCGGCCCTGCCTTGTCCTCGGCTTTCATGAGAGACTTGACAGCAGGCCAAGGCGCCTCGAGCTCCTCAGTAGTATTCATACGGCCCTTCCATAGTTTCGGCGGAGTGCCGTCGGCATTGATGTCTATTAGCCAAGGGGTGGCGCCGCCGTCGATAGTGTCCTCTACAAAGATGTGGTCTACGACCTTGACGAAGTTGTCGATGGGATGGTTGGCGAGGACGCCGATGAAGACGCCGAGTGATTCGGCCCTATTTTCATAATGCTCGTGGAAGAACATGGGGCTCGAGCACGTGGCGCAGAACATGACGGTGACATTTTGTGTGAAGTCGTACCGGGCCAGAGTTGAGTCGAGGACAGCTTCATGGGGGCCGGGCCACGGCGCGTCGCAGCTGTACATGGCACCGGTGACGTGTCTGCACGAGTTGCAGTGGCAGTAGGATGCTTCCAGAGGTAGAGAAGATGGCGAGATGGAGGCTGTGAACGTATGTCCCTTGCAGAGGCATTGGGCGATGATGTCCATCTTGGGTTCGGTATTGCTAGCCATGGTTCGTTCTGGAGGGTGGAAGAAAACAACAAGAGAAGGATGAACAAGAACTAACGGCAGGTAGAGTATTGAACGAGACTATTTAAGACCATGCTACTACATAGAATGCGGGGGATACGAAAGATTCACGAGGACGCACGTTAAACAGGTGAGTGGCCGTGAGACGTCACACTGGCGCAACGGACGATGATCTGACTGTCGATCGTTTGATAAAGCTAAACTTGAAACTAGAAAGCAAAAATTAAAATCAAGATTCAGGACTATATTCTCAGTTACTCAAAAAACAACAAAAATACACCAAAACACATAAACACCCTAACTGTGAGTTTCGCAACACTGATTAGATTCCTGTTCAGTGAGTTCCACCACGATAAGTAACTGAAATATAGTCCATTTGTTCCAGGAGTAAAAGGTCCTGGCTATGACAGAGATGCATATTTAATGCATCTCGTCATACGAATCATACAGCCGGCGAACACTCCCCCGATCACTGGGAGTCCGCTGAGCTTCGGAGAGGTAATGAGACATCCAAGTGGGATTGCCAGGACCGTCCTCGGGCCCAAAGTCCTTCCAGGCGTCGATGCGCATGCCGTTGTCGAAGCTCCGGACAGCAAAGTCGGTCGGGCAAAAGGGGCAGTTGCCGAGCCACTCTTCGCCTTTTCGACTAAACAACATGGCTTTCACCACGACCCAGAAGAGCTGCTTCCTCTGATCACACCAGGCGACGCCGTCGGCCGGCCGTCGGAGCCGCTGGTGATTGCAAATTTTCAGGCGCGGGAACACCGAGGGCGTGTACGAGGCGCCGTGCATTCTGAATTCCCAGCGGTAGTGCATCAGGAACCTCGCGTCGACCACCCTGGGGCTCGAGAACCACTCGAATATCTCGAAACTATTCTTGTGCCTGACTACCTTGTTGTCGGCCTCGTAGCTACGGAGCTTATTGAGGTAGTGGCGGAGGCTGTCATCGGCAGCCGCCAATCGGTTGTATTTCAGCGCCAGCTGGACGCGGGCGTAGTTGATACCAGAGACTTCCTCCCCAGGCCGTGAGGACTTCCGATAGGGACAGGATGGGTGCCCTCTGGGTTGCATGAAATCCCTCTTGGTGATGCGGTGCCGCTTCTTGCACCCCGCGCATACCCAGACCTTGGCGTTGCTGCGGGCGTGTTGGACGAGGAGCCTGACGTGCTCGGAGGCTGAGAGGGCTGGCACCATGTTATTGATCTGCAGCATGGTCCTGATGCCGCGGCATGTTTGGGACAAGAGGACCTTGGTGTGGTCGGGGAGCCAGTCGGCGAGCTCTTTGAAGACAAAGGAGTGCATCCGGAGGAACGGGACTTGGGCGTTGGGGTTGTCCATGGTGTCACTCGCCATTAGCTCGGTTTGATGATTGGAATATGAGAGGCTAGTGAATGTTTGATGGGTGGTGATGAAGAGAGTTTGGCTCTCAAGATGGGCGGCAAAGTGACAAAGACACGTATGCAAATGCAAGTGATGGGTTGAAGGTGTTGAAGGTCGAGGGCCGCATGTGTTGCTTCGAGGAGGGGATTTCGAGGAGGATGACTTCGAGGAGGGGACTTCGAGGAGGAAGACTTCGAGGAGGAAGACTTCGAGAGGGAAGACTTCGAGAGGGAAGACTTCGAGGATGAAGACTTCGAGGATGAAGACTTCGAGTAGGAAGACTTTGAGGAAGGGGAAAGGTGCTGTATGGGGGACGAAGGGGAAGGGCGGTTCTTAAAGGACACGTCGAGCAGTAGCCTTAATGATGGTCATGCTGCAGTCTTTCATCTGAACTATTGACTCGTATCGTGATAATGCATGTTGGAGGTTTAGATGACATAAATTGAGTTTGTCCTTCGTCTGGGTACCGGGGGGATGGATAGATGGACAGATTCGTGTAAGCCTCGGCATATATCGAAATGATTGTACAACGGTCGCCACAATAGGGAAAGACTCTTTGTCACGGTTATTTTCAATATAATATGCAGCTGCAAAGAGTGGAGAGATGATAATGAAAAATGTCGAATTCGTACAAACTCCCTGCACATTTTGAACTTTAAGCCGGCACCTAGCAGGAGAATGAGAGACTTAAACGAGGTTTTCATAACAAAGTTCAGTGGCGAAACGATCTAAGACGCCTTGTTTCCTAGAGCTCCCTCCGCTCTCCAATCCATCCCCTGTCATGCTCGTATACACTCAACAAGAGCCGGTGGAGGGACCACAAGACTCGACCTTGCTTGGAGCCAGCCTCGGGATTGGGACAATTTCTTAGCATCAAGCCTGGACTAGGACGATTCCTTAGCATCAAGCTCCGCGAACACGTCGCTAGCAACAAGAAGCGCGGTCCTCCCCGCCGGAACGCCGCAGTACACCATGGCGTGGCGACACGCCTCGCAAACCTGCTCCCTGGACAGGCCGTTGTGGAGCGCAGCGCGGATATGCAGTCTCAGCTCGTTGGATCGGTTGAGCGCGATGAGCATGGCGATGTTCAGCAGTGACCGCTCGCGGAACTCGAGGCCCGGCCGGGCGTAGCTCGCAAAACATGTCTCGTTGACATACTCTGATGCAACTTTGCTGGGCAAATCTTCGCGCTGGTGGAGGGGGGGTGACACTGCAGTTAGCTTGAGATTCCATGCGGTTCTACGGAATTTGGGTTTCAGAGGCAGGTGGTAATTACTGATTGGCCCCGAATATCGGCCAGAATCTCCTCGCCAAAGAACTCCTTTGCCATCTTCGATCCTAGTGCTGCGCGCGCCGAAGCTTCTTGGTCCGGCTTGACGCTTGGGCCATCTTTCGAAAGAAGAGGGAGCGATGTATGGAAGACTAGCTTTTGGTAGTAGCTTGGAGTAACGACGGAAGGAAGGTATTGCGACCCTCGTAGGGCCCTGGAGGTCAGGTACCTGCTATGCGACGTTATCACAGGTGCTCGCGGGTTGACGTTGTTGACTCCGATTACCTTCTCATCATTTTCCCTGACTAGAAATCAACTCCTTGATGTTTGAGTCCTGATCCGCCGCTCGCCACCTGGTAGACAAAAAATAAAGTCGTTTATGGAGAGAAGTTGAAATGGGAGTGAGGCAAAGTGAGGTCTCACATTTGGCCTTCACCCCGCACGACGCAATGCTACCCGATCACTAAGATCACCGCTCTGGACTTGAGAAATGACAGAGCGAGGCAAATGGATTTAGTGTTCAGTATACCCAGATCAGAATGGCTAAGAATACTCCAAGAGTGATCTTGATTGATGCTGTCTATGTTCTTAATTAATTTTGTTTAAAGCCTGAGTTGCACTTCCCCATTTACCCTCTCTCCCCAACCTTCCCGACCGTGCTTGAGAAGAAATACCAACCATGATCCTCGACCATATCACTTCCTGAGAAAATACAAGGCAAGATATCCAAGCAATCGGTAACCCGCAATAATACCAATGATGATGCCAATCCACGTTCCCTCGAGCCCGGTGTCAATCTTAAACACCTTCAACACATCAGTCCCCCGAATCATCCCCTCCGAGTTCAGGTCGCTGGGGTACATGCACTGATACTGCCCATCAGCGCCCCTCGCGCAGGCATAGTCCCTCCCCTTGAACTCGTTGACCATCATCCCCTGGAACACATACGCCTGGTAGTCGATGTAGTGGAAGACGTACTTCCAGAAGGGGTTGAGGATCGTCATGGGGACCAAGAAGCCGTCGACGACCATCCACAGCCCGTTGGCGAAGGCCGTGACGGCGAGGGCGACGACGAAGATGGGGGCGACGCTCGAGACGAGGACGACGAGGGACTCGGCGGCCAGCAGGTCGAGGAAGAGCCAGAGCACCCACATCATGAAGGCCGAGCCGTCGGCGCGGAAGTTGGTCAGCCAGTACTCGACCACGGAGAAGAGCACGGCGATGAGGAAGAGGAAGGGGAGGCCGATGAGGAAGTTAGCCATCATGAAGGAGAACGGGCCGACGAGGCCGTTTGCCCGCTCGTTTTCGAAGGTGTGCAGGTCCTCGAGGAAGGCGGGGACGTATGCGACGGCCATGAAGGAGAGGAACGCGCCCCCGAAGAAGATGGCGTTGATGAATGGTTGGATGTATTCCTGGGAGGTGTGGAAGCGGAGGAAGACGGTGCCCATGAGGATGGCGAGGCCGAGGTACATGGCGATGCGGATCTCGTAGGCCACGACATCTCGGTATGCCTTGATCCAGGAGCGTTGGAGTAGGGTTAGGAGGACGGTCCAAGGGTTGGGTTTCGCCAGCTTAACGGAGGACAAGTCTGTCCTTGATGTGGTGGCAGCGTCATTGTTCAGTTCATTCTCCAGGTCCTTGCGTTCCGCAGACAATGACCACTTCTGAATGATGTCTTGGGCCCTCTTCTTCACCTCACCATTCTTGTCGAGATCGATGTTGATGAGGTCAAGGAAGAACTCGGCGGGGTTCATTGCTGGCGGCATGGGGTATCCGATTCGACGAAAGTAATCGTCTGCCTCGTTGACTGGGCCGAAATAGCAAGTTTTCCCGAGAGAGAGCAGGGCTAATTTGTCAAAGAGACGGTATGTGGTGGTTGAAGGTTGGTGAATGGAAGCGATAATGACAAGCTGTGCAGATGTTAGTCAGGTCAGGTTCTATCTGTAACCAGTGTCCCTCTATAGCACTGACATTGTTCTTGATAGCAATTTCCTTAATGTATCTGATGATTTCTGCACTGAGGGCAGAGTCCAGGCCACTGGTGGGTTCGTCAAGGAAGAGAATCTTGGGATTTGTTACGAGCCGACTTGCCACACCCAGACGCTTCTTCTGCCCACCGCTGAGGCCCTTCTTGATAGGGGTTCCGACGATGGAGTCTGACTGAGCTTGTAGACCAAAGCTGGCGATGAGGTCGTCAACGCGGGAGAGAGCCTCTTTCTTGGAGACGGTACTATAACTTCGTTAGAACACAATCTTAGCTAATTAAGGAAGACATCAATCGAACCTGGGCAAAGATAGCCGAGCGGCGAAGGCCATGGTCTCACGGACTGTGATGCTCCCAATCAAAGCATCCTCTTGCTCAACGTAGGCGGACAAGTTGCGGACCATGGAACGGTCGCTGGCCTGGCTATTTACCATGACCCGGCCGGTCGTCGTAGCACCAGCGGCAGCAACTCGGTGGGCGAGAGTGTTCAGCAGTGTGGTCTTGCCTGAGCCACTGGGCCCCATGATGGCGAGCATCTGGCCGGCATGAACCAGACCAAAGGACTCCGCTAGAATATGCAGAGGCTCGCCAGAGGCTCGATCCTTGACAACGACTTGCATGTCGTGCCATGAGAAGGACTGGACGATGTCGTTGATGAGGTGGTGAGTCGAGTCCGAGTTGGACTCGATGTCCTTTTCTCTTGGCATGGTGTTTTCAGTGTGTGTATGGAAGATGAATAGCAAAGTGAAGCTGAAGATGGAATGATGGATTCGAATGTATTGGATGATTGAATGGACGGTTGGGTGAAGGCGTATTTAAGTGATCAACCTCATCGGCGTCTCAACAGTTATAACCCCTAGCGGGACTCTATCTACACAGGACGAGGAAGATTTTTCATTCTAATTACATCACTCAGACCCGAGGATCTGACACGGACTCAGCCTCATCTGCCGGCAAATGGAGATTTGATGCAGGCTGACTAGAAGCCCTACGACAATGCAACGTCAGACTATTGACCGGACATGAGCGAGAGGCTCCACAGTGATCGGCGACGTTTTCAGCGGCCCCGCATTCTGCTTCATTCTGGTCGCCGACATCCAGAATCACTCAGTCAGAAATGCAAACTCTGCCCGTCATTGGCCCGTCGTCCCCAATCAGCGGCGACCTCGAGCTCATCTCGCGGATTACTCTATTGGAAACGTGCCAGTAGCTGTGCTTATCCAATTCTCCTCGTTAAAGGCTAGTGGCATCTCGGCAGTCGGGACTCGGTAGGGCCATTTCTCTCCATCCTCCATCACTCACGACCCGCGATACCATGTCAATGACACCCTCAAACGAGGCTCCAGATGGAGAGAGGGGCCGTTCAAGCCCTGGGAGACTCTTCCCAACCGCCTGCTTATCATGTGTAAGGCCTACTACTACTGTCGTCTCGCTGCAGCTGTGCTGACCGAGTCTGCTTGATTGTAGCGGGCAAAGCACCTCAAATGTGATCGTCTACACCCTTGTATCCGCTGTACAGCATCAGGAGACGAGTGCTCCTACGTCGCTTCCCGCCGCGGCTACAAACGAGCACGAAGTCGGACTCCCCCGCAGCATCTCGAAGAGAATGTATTGGCATCCCTTCTGACCCCCCAGGTCTCAACACCTCTCAATGGAGCCTTCTCTTCAGCAAGCAGTAGTAGCGGAGCAGCGTCCTCAGCCGTCTGCAATATAGGAGGAGCCATGGGAATAGATCTCGCCTCTCCAAACCTGGTCTTGTCTGCACCAACACCGCTGGATCAAGGCCTGTCCCCCCATCCGGCACAGCTGGTAAGAGTTAACGACACGGGCTTCAAACTCACCAACGAGTCTTCAGCCCTTTCAGACCGATATTTGAACTCGTACTATCAAAATTTTCATGCCTCTCACCCTTTTACACTACCGAAGAAGTATCTATTCCAACTTTTCAATTTCGCCGCGCTGGAGCCGCTCCTTTGCGCCATCCGCTGGGTGGGATCGCTTTATGTCGACAGAGTATTCTCGCGAGGTCATTTGCTAGAAGAAGCATATCGGAAGATCAACGACCCAAACACCCCTCAAGATGGGCTCCTCGTGCAGGCGATGCTGGTGCTGATAGTGGGACTTGACGGGACACGCCAGCTCGAGGCAGCCAAGAAGCTGCTTGCTGATGCCGGTGCCCTCGCCGTCAAGATTGGGCTGAATTCCCATCAGTTTGCGATCGCGCATGGCAGAGACAATCCCGTTGTGCAGGAGGGTTGGCGGAGGACGTGGTGGGATCTGTACGTTGTCGATGGGATGATCGCGGGTGTCCATCGCGCAACCAACTTTGCGCTCTTTGACGTTCAGGCGGATGTGCAGTTACCATGTGAGGAATGGGAATACCATTCAGGGGTATGATATTCCGAGATGCTCGTGGTTCATCTACGATGTATGTGACTGACTGAGTCGTGGACTAGGTAATACCAGCGCCCAAGTCCCTCACGGACTTGGAGTCCTACGACTTTTCCGACAGTGACCTCGATGGATTCTCCTCCTTCTCATACCGAATCCTCTGCGCGCGCAATCTCGGAAAGTTCTTCAGGTGCGGGCCTATAGTAGGACCTGACGACCCAAATCTGTCAAGGATGGAAGCATTACTCACTCACTGGAGGCTAAATCTCCCCAACTCCAAGAAAGACCCAGTTGCCATCGACGGAACAATAGACGAGATGATGTTCCAGGCCCACATGATGATTAACGCCACCTCGATCCTCGTCCACTACCCTCACTCCCAGCTCAACCCGTCCGCGACCAAGCGCATCGACTCCTGCGCCCCCAGCCAGCCCGTCACGCCCGGCTTCACATACAACTCCCACACCAGGCACGTCATCAGTGCCGCCAACGAGATAAGCAAGCTCATCACCCCTTCGGATCTCCTCTGCCACACGCCCTTCTTCGTGTGTGTGGTGAGCAACGCGTCCATCGTCCACATCAACAGGTGGGGTTCGTACATGCACTCCGAGGAGGACGATGTCTTCTTACGGCAGCAGATCAGTCTTAATATAGGAGCTCTGAATAGGTTATCGCAAGTCTGGGAATCTGCCAGGGCAGCCAAGGAGCAGATACGGAGTGTAGCGCAGGAGATCAGCCAGTCGAGAAGGCAGGAAGAAGACGAGATCCGGTCTGGGTTGTGGAGTGAGATATTGGGCGAATAGATGGGAGTCGTTCAAAGGTTATTGCTAATAACCTGCTGGATACAGTTACAAAGGCGCTGGTATCGTGCTTTGAAGCTGATAACTTGTATAACATCATTATACCAAAACTATTCTCACATGTATATGCTAGGCTAGCGTAGCTGATTTAATTGTATCAGCAACTTTCAACTTATTCGCACGCTAACAATAAAAGCGAGGCCGCTCAAATGTTATTTCCAGGGTGCAGGAGACGTTGACGCTTGTTCACATAGAGATCTAGGTGAGGGGGAGGACACGGCATGATATCATCGTATGTTAATCGCCGGAAATAGAAAGACTATTCCTCCAATCAGCATGAGGATAATACACGTGACAAAGTAAGATCGGCTGAATGTTTGACGCCTCCAAGCCGACATATCCATTCGCCATTGTTGTCACCACAAACATCGAATTCGTGGGCGCGATCAGGGCTCAAGAGCAAGATTCTAGCCATGGTCTCTCAGGCGGTGACAGCTCCTTTGACGCGTGCAGCGACCTTCCTCATTGTGTCTGCAGTGTCTCAGCCAACAGCCATCCCGACGATTCGAGCAACGCTATCCAGCATCAGTGACATCACTAAGAACATCTCCATCCGACATCCGGATGGCAGGCTCAGCTGCACTGTTGGCATTGGCAGTTCCATCTGGAGTCGCTTGACCAGTCTGCCACAGCCGAAGGAGCTGCATCCGTTCCAGGAGATCCGCGGCGCAAAACACACGGCCGTGTCTACACCCGGTGATATACTCTTCCACATCAGGGCCGACAGGAGGGACCTGTGTTTTGAGTTTGAGAGGCAGCTGATGCAGCGTCTGGGCAGTGCCGTGACGGTGGATGACGAGACTGTCGGATTCCGATACTTTGACGCCCGCGATCTTCTGGGATTCGTCGATGGCACGGCGAATCCCGTCGGTCCCGAAGCCTCGGAGGCAGCCTTCGTGACTCAAGAGGACGAACCAGACTCGGCGGGGGGCAGCTACGTCGTCGTCCAGAAGTACCTCCACGATATGGACGGGTGGCAGGCCCTGCGGACTGAAACGCAAGAAGCCATCATCGGGCGGACAAAGCTGGACAATATTGAGCTTGACGATGCGCCTGCCCAGTCGCAACAGTCGCACAAGTCCCTCGCCACGATCGAGATGGAAGGCGACGAGCATGCCATCGTCCGAGACAATATGCCCTTTGGATCGCCGGGGAAGTCTGAATTCGGGACCTACTTTATCGGTTACTCGAAGAATCTCTGGGTCACGGAGAAGATGCTGCAGCGCATGTTCGTTGGCGAGCCGCCGGGGATGCATGATCGCATCCTTGATTATTCAAAAGCCGTGCTTGGCGCGACATTTTTTGCGCCGTCGGACTTGGAGAGTCTTTGAATGAAGTAGAAATCAATATCAATTTGAACACAATCTCCTCTTGTTCCCCTGAAGCCTCTTTAGATATCTCCCCTGTTTAATTTTAGTAGCAGTGGTTACATTCTCATTTTTTACTAGCTTTTATGATACAAGCTGTAGAAGTTTAGATACAGAGTGACTCTCAAAATTCTCAACCAAGTTCTTGATATCCTTCGCCTTGCCTTCCCCAAGAACTGGAGTTACCAAGCTGAAATACTTGGCCTCGACTTGGTCCCTACTGAACGGATGCTCCGGCTCACCCAGAGGGAAGAGAATATCTACCTCCTTTGTCTCCCCATCCGAATACTGAACCTTCAGTTTGCTCCCGAACCCCTTGACGGAGTCGTCCTTGATGCACTCGATCTTGTCCGACAACTTGTGGATGGCCTCATCATCAAGCCGCTTTGAAAACTCGATACCGGTATCTGACCCGTGCAACCACGCATGTGCCAGCTGAAAGTAGGCAGAGAACTGCGCATCCACAATGTTCGCGGGATGCAGCTTGTTCGGGATCCGCGAGCCCACGACAATATGGTTCGGCGAGCTCAGAGACACCGTGAGTTTCTCAACTTCTCGCCCCTTAGTTTCCTGCCCAAGCCTGCCACCGACCTCGATCAGCCCATGGGTCATACGACAAGCTGGATAGGGCTTCAACGCCGTCTCGATAAAGTCCCAGCGACTCCCTAGATCCGCAACAAGCGAGGGCAGGTCATGCTCCGTACGCGGAGTGTAGGCATGCAGCAACCCATAACTCCCCTCAAACGGCCTCGCAGCACCCAAAACCCCAGCCTCAGCCAGCGAGACGGCCACGAAGGCATCGTGGACCGCGAATCCCGGGTGCAGCCGCTTGTTCCAGCTCCCATTCTCCAGGTACTGCATCGACCCTGCCGCCTTGGACAGCGCCAGCCCAAACGCATCCTCCACCGTCGCGGCCGGCAACCGCTTAAGCACCGAGATGGCCGCGACGGCGCCAAAGATGCCACAGGTCGCCGTGTTATGGAACCCCCTCGCGTACGCCTCGTTGCCCAGCTTGGCCCCCAGCCGGCATATGACCTCGTACCCTACCGCCGCGGCCAGCATGAAGCGCTCGGACGTGGCGTCCTGGCCGCCCAGGAGCTCCGCCTGCGTGAGCGCGGCGGGGATGGCGCACACGCCCGCGTGCAGGGAGCCGGGCGTATAAGTGTCGTCAAAGTCCATGGTGTGGCCCAGCGCGGCGTTCATGAGCCCCGCGTACTGCGGGAGGAAGTCGTTCCCCTTGAGGACCACCGTGGACGCTCCTGTGCGTGCGCCCAGGGCCACGACGGCCTTGAGGATCTGCTCTGTCGACTCCCAGCTGTGCGCGGCGGCGACGGTGACGCCCAGGTAGTCGAGGAGGTACTCCTTGACGTGGGAGATGACGGTCGGGGTGAGGAGCGAGACGTCTGCCTTGGAGACGAACTCGGCGAAGAGCTTGGTCACTTGGATATCCTGATTGGTCGCCATTTTTTGATATTTTTATCTGAAGGGTGTTTGCTATCACTGAACAGTTAGAGAGAGATCTTGGAAGTAGTCTGTATTTACCCCAGACTGTGGCTTGTGCGGGGGAACGAGCCCGGGGACCTCGGTTTTTGGAGAAATGCCTATTAGCCAACCGGTGTTTAAATACGTCTTTTGGTATCATTGGTTGACGCATGTATGAGTTCCATTTGTATCCTCCAGTTTAATTCCCCATCGGGCGTAATACGGCTATATGATAGAAGGAGACGTACAAGTCGGCATCCACCGCTTCTCTAGTGGTGATTGTCAAGCTGCGGTCGTATTGGGTCAAGAAGACAGTGTTTCCAGGAATGAGGCAAGAATGAGAAGATGGACCTTTGTATCTCTTTTTATATCTTCGACTTGTTGTGACCGAGATGGTAAGACTGCTGATGATGCCTCCTTTAGAGAAGAACGAAATCTAGCACACTGATCTGGCCGCAAAGTTGGCATGCTGGTGAAAAATATCTGTACAAATTATTTTCGTGTATTCAAATCAATCATGTAGCTATATGTCGGGTACTCAATCATCATAGTCTATAGCAGGGAGTTCAAACACAGGGAGACCCTCCCCGTCCCTCTCTGCGCCATCGCCCTCCGAGCCTGGTGCTCTGCGCACGATCCCATATGTCTCGTCATACTGTATCTCTATATCATATTCGGATACTATGTTCTCTATCATACTGGGATGGCCGATAGCACCCAGCATAGATAACAGTCGTCTTTCTAGACTCTCCGGCTCAGGGGTAGAGGGTGAATACTGAGCCGCCTCCCACTGTTCTTGAGCCTCGTCTCGCGGCAAAAGAGGATTCGGGGAGTACTGATAACTGAACCCAGAGGGTGATGCCAGAGGTCCCAGGATCCGTGGCTGCAGAATGATGTTTTCATCAATCTGTCTTACGTCAGGCGGCGCAGACAGGATGGTCCTGGAATATGTTGTAGGCGGGCTTAGCCGAAGTCTTGGTTTGGGGCGGGCAGGGAGCGACAGCTTTGGGTTGGGGACCATATCTTGTGAGCCCCTAGCATTGTAGGGCCGTTCTACCTTACTAATCGGGTCCTCGTCATCGTAGATCGTCCTCTGCCTGGAGGAATACGCAGGTTGGGCCGTGGGTCGAGTAGGGGGACCATTGTCTGATGCCCTATATTGGGATGGTCTTTGCCGGTTCGAATGAGATGTTGTATGCCTGACGCTGGTGGAACCCTGACTTCTGTCGCTGCCCCTGGATGACCCCCTTGCCCATTGGCTTACCTTGGAGGAGCCAGACCGTTGTAGGTTGATGTAGCCAGGCGGCATGGGATAGGGTTGAGACGCGTCATATTGTTGAGCTGAGGACGGTCCCCGCCGGTGTTGAGGTGCGCTGTATTGGTATTGCTGAGCCGACCGCTGGCTACCAAACCTTGAATAGCCAGGGCCAGAGCCCGTTTGCATTGTCAAAACAGTTGACTGGCCTGGCTGCTGAACCACGTTGGAACTGGAGTCCTTTTGAGGCTCAGATGCGTAGTTGTATTCAGGTATTCTTGAGATTCGGTGCTCCGATTGCGGCGGTGGTCGACTTGATGTTGGGGGACGCTCGAAACGCTCACGGAGTGGCACACCGTCACTACGCATGAATTCTTCTGGATCGTCCTCACTTATACGAGAACTGATGCGAGAATGTTGGTTTTCCAATCTTCGACGAGCACGATCAATCCTTTGACGGCGTTCTTCATAACGGCGTTCTTCATAACGTTCATCGTCGTGGGCCCTGCTGTGAGAGCTGACAGAGCTGGGTCGCGCATGTCGCGCGTGACGCCGTGCCCCGACCCCGGGGTCAATCGCTCCTATCCCTAGATCCACTGCATGGACCACGGGTCGATTTTTTCGCCCAGTCCGGCCTTCGTCAAGTTGTGGTTGGATTGGTTCTAGATGACCTTCCAAAAAGTCCTGAGTTGGTGGACGAGTAGCATCTTCCACACTAATCGGCGAATAGTCTGGAGAATATCCAATCTCTCCTGGGGCCGTCCCGGCGTATTCATTGTTATTATCTTGCATCTCCTCCCTTTCATCTGTTTCGATTGGATCATGAAGAGGTGTCGTATGCTCTTCGCCATGTTCCTCATTGCCCCCATTGTCAGATGACTGCTCTTCAAGCAACTTGGCAATGTCCTCATGGCCCTCCCGCAAAGCAGATGTCAAAGCACTAGCCTTCTCCATGACGACAAAGGCACAACTATGCGTGTCGTTTAGCTTAACATAGTAGCCCATTGGAATGAAAGGGTCGGCATGATATCTGCATAATGTCGAGGCACACCCCAGCCAGCCACACGAGGAGGCGATTTGGAGCGCCCTTGTCTTAATTTTATCCCATTGTAGGCGATGGTCTTGCTCGACTAGCGAGCCAATGTCTTCCATCCATCTGGTAGGTTCGGGGAAACTTAGAGCTAAGTTGGTCGTAACAAAGGCTCGAACACACGGGTTATGCCCAAACATTGCCGCGTAATCCAGCGCCGTGAAGTTGAGAACTAACGTCTCACTTGCGATGTATGCTCTGTATTGGAGAAGCAAAAGGATGACATCGCAGTGCCCCTCTCTGGAAGCGGCATGCAGAGGAGTCATACCTAGATCATCGGCGAGGTTTATGCTGGCGCCGGTCTTGATCAACGCCTTGACAGCTTCAGTTGAGCCTGTGGCGGCAGCATGCCAGATTGGCGTTCGCCCGAATCTGTCGAGCGCATCAACTAGGTGTCTGTTTCGTGCTTGGCCGAGTAAGAAGTCAATCATAGCTTCGTTGTTGCAGGCTGCTGCGCGATGAAGTGGCGTCTCTTCGTACAAATTACGGCAATCAGTAGAGACATTCGATACAAGCTCACCTACAAGCTGAAGCCAGGTATAGAAGTCATCACTATCGCTCGCAGTGGGCCGACGGCTATAGTAAGCAGCCATAAGGTGCAGAGGCGTTTCTTGAAGATGTTTTGTTGGTAGGGATGCCAAAGCAGTGAAGGAGTCCATATCTAGAGCGTCCCGGATCACAATCCAAGATGGACTAGCACACATGGAAGCAATGTGGAGAGCACCCAGGCCACCTCGTGACACTACCTGAAGAATTTCCCTGCCTCGTTTCTTCAAGAGGAGGTCTAGAGATTCGGTGAAGCCTCCAGCGGTGGCCCAGTGTACTGGGTGAAGGCCATATTTGTCGGAGGTTGCAGCTTCTGAATTTCCAGGATCCAGTAACTCTGGATACCTGGATATGACTTTTTCCGCCTTTTCTTTCTCCCCATCAAAGAGGTAGATCGCCAACAGTTGCATAGGAGAAGCAGTGAAATTTGCCACCGGACCCTGCTTTAGCTCCGCGATAAAGTCACGCAAGTATCCGAGAAAGAACCCGATTGACGCGGCCTGCTTGGTGCTTTTACTCGTCAGAGGGCTGCTCGTGCTCCTCAACTTTTCTATTCTGGTCGGTTCAAAGGGGCTGCTGAGTGTTGCTGACATCGTCAAGATATGGCTGAGGGGTCGGAGGAGGTTCCAAGAGCTTCTTGCGCTGCTCGGCTGTCGTTCGTGGCTCGCTGGTTGGGGGAGATTTAATGAGTTCCTTGGGCTGCTGGATGACCCGTCGTGTATTTTTGTATCGGAGCTGTCTTTGGAAGGCTCCGTTGGCTCTCGTGGTTCCCTATCCAGGCTGCGTACGGCCCGAGGATTAAAGCTAGCGATAGTCTCTGGGTCATGGTCTACGAATTCCTCCCATGTCGTTTGAGAACATGGCCCGGTCAGTAGTTGGACATCTCGCTGAAGCATTTCAATATCTTGGCCTTCGAATTCATTCACCATATCCTCGTCCTCATTGCTGGGTTCAACCAAGGATTCCCTCAACTTCTCTTGTTGTTCAGGTGTGAGCGTCACACCAGCCGCTTGGATTTCGGGCTTTGTAGCGAGCGTAATAGAAACGTACAGTCGACCTTGGAGCTGAGTCCCGCTCACAGTTGCTTCTGTTATCAATCGAGCATCATCACCTATGGTATCCCGGAGTAGACCGGGTGAAATATCCGCGTGTTTTGTACCCTCAATCGCTTTGGAGATTTTGCTGTTGATTGAATCGAAAGATTCCTCGATCGAACATGCGCTGCGCATCTGGAAACACCAGCCCTCCCATTGCATAGCGTTGAGCCGTCTCAGACCAACAACCACGTCAATCGCGGAATTCTCCCATGTGCTGCTCTGATACCTGAAGAGGCCCATGGCTTGAATCTTGCGTGAATAGTTTACTTTGAGAGTCATGGTGTGTGAATTCCATTGCCGAGGAGGGAAGGCGCTTGAAAATCGATAGAGAGAGTGGTCCGATGATGACATGGTGCTACTGATGCCGAATTCGGACTCTGGAGGGGAGGGGGTTGGTGATGGTGGGATTCTGAACTGGGGCAGGTGATAGTACATGGGCTCCTGTCGGACGTAAACATGTTGATACCCTTCGTCCTCGCTGCAATAGTTGTAGGGAGAGGGCGGTGGTAAGAGCCTTCTCGATCTGGTCTGAATTCTCCCGTACTGGTCCTCAGAGAGACGACGAAGTCGGATAACAGGGCAAAGATATGTGTTATCAACACGGATGACACAGTCCAAAATGGCATCAAAGTCTTCCTCCATTGGAGCTTCGTAGGAACCTCCAAAATCATCCTCGGCAGGCCGTAAGTAAAAATGGACATGAAGACCTTGGTTCGTCATGCTGGACGGCATGCTTGCGTAGGTGGGCAGTGGTGGCAGAGGTTGGATGTCACCTGCATACGCAAACTGGGCTGGAGATTTTGCGAGAAGACTCGAAAGAGCATCCTGGTCCTCATCCTCGATGTCATCCGCCGAGTTCCACGCGAATAAGGACTGGTCATCCGTCTGCTGGAGAATCGCCTCCTGCAACCGCCTAAAAGCTCGACTCCCTTCGCCATATAGAAGGGGCATGTTGACCTGGAAGAGACCCATTAGGCAGTACGCCACATCCTCTCGCCGGGTTGTCTGGCGACGAGACGCCCAGGCCATCCGTGCAGACACACTGAGTTGCAAAGGATCAATCCTCCCATCCAAGACTTCACAGCCGACACCTGTCACTTCACTGATGACCCTGGTAAACGACTCTGGTTTGTCTTTCCGGCCAAGAAAGGTCCAGTCGCTGGCGTAAAAGAGCACGATGCTTGGAGCGACGAGCTCCTGTAGCGTCCAACCTCTGGTGAACCACCGACTGCTGTAAAGGCTAGACTGAGGGTCCGTCCAGTCCTCGACAGCCTCAGGACCGACGTCGGAAAGCAAGGCATAGCACTCTTCGGACTGTTGATACCAAAGGTACATCGAGTTGATGGCCTCGGACAGCTCTGCACTGCTCGATTTGTCAATACAGCAGGTGTCTACCCATAAGTACTCGAGGCCGCGACTGAGGGCCATGGCCGCAGCGGCTTTCACCTTGAGATATCCGTCCTTCTGGGTGATGCGGTTCACGGCAGAGCGGTTGTCTGAGTCGTTGGTGATGACGCGCTCCATCTCCTGTAGAGTGATCTCCTGATCACCCCAAGTGTGGGAGAGGATCGCATAGCTGGGCACGGCATCGTCGGGAATCTCGACCAGATCCAGGGAGCTTGTGTGGAGCAGACGCATTGCTGCTAGACTGGATACCGACTGAGGAGAGACGAGGGCTGGTCGGCATGCGCAAACGGAACCATGGTCATCTCCTGGTTTCTCCCAGTGCGTCGCGCGCTGTCAGTGTCCGACTGTTAGGTCAATCAATCGGTGCGGGTCGCACAAGGTTGGTGTTGGATTCTCTGGGCTCGAGGTGGGAAGAATCTCGAGATGTGCGAAAACGAAATGCGACGGCAGGTGAGACAGTTCTTCAGTCTGACGCAGGTCCTGCCTTGCGCTGAGTGGCTGCTCGTTCGCGCTAATAACGGCGCGAACTGCGGCTGAGTCTCTCACATTTGTGGCGTTGTGGCGGTGTACCTAGATGTATCTTCGCGGTGATTGCGTCTTGTCTCCATCGAGACAAAAATTGCATGCGGCCGGGTTTTGTCAAATAGAGAAGCAGTTGCAGTTTCCAAATATCACGGTTTGATCAATGACTGGACCCATTTTCCAACTCTATGCTTGACGGGGGATTGGGAAGCGTTGTACCCCCGCAAGCGAGTGACACAAAACATGGCGCACCAAAGCTCTGTAAGTCAAGGACCTCAATCGTATCAATAATACTAAACAAAATAACGAGAAAACTAACTATTGTTATTCTAACGTATTTAGCTTCATATTGTAAGAATTACTGATATTTTCTTATATTATTTTGAAATGCTGGAATTCAACGCTGGAGGTTCTGGGTGTGCCATGTTTTATGTCACTCGCTTGCCCCGCTCTCGCCTTCAGTTTCCGGCCTACCCTACACATCTCCATTTAGTTCCCTCATCGTCAAGAAGCAGTATTCGTCAAGGTACTTGTAAGACTTTTTCGGGAGCATAGTAAATCGATTGGTTTCACAAGAAAGGGTAAGGGTAAATGAAAGCAGGACATCGATAACTAATCCAGTATCTGAGTCCTGCATTCCGAAGACACTATGGCTTACCACCATCCAAATGGCATCAGATCGGCTTGCTTGGGAGAGCATCTCAAATGCCAGTCAATGAGAAATTATCAACCGCAATGAGAATTATGTGGTTGTTAGTCCGTTCCACATCAAGAAAGAGTACTAATGCAGTTATCATGGGTCGACCTCCAATACTTCACCAACAAACAATTGTTGGAACTTGTCATTTTTTGACTTAATACTTCCGGGACTCGAATAACTCTATTGATCGAATATTTTGCTATGGGCGGCTATTTTCTCCTTGTAAAATAATGGAATGAGATGAGATGCTCTGGCTTTCAAGTCTACTTTGCGGTTGGAGGATGGGCGCTCTCAGTCATTCGTTTGATGTAGAGGTATTTTCAAAATCTGACCAAGCCTCCACGTGTTCTCACTCGCGCAATTTATGTCTTTCATCACCTTACCGAGAACTGGCGGGTAGAATTCCACTCAAATCTCCTAAAACGATGTTTTAGAGAGTTGTGTACTGAACACGGGAGCCCAGCATCGACTGAATTTAATGGAGACATTGCGAAGATCAGTCTCCACCACCTACTACAAGTTAACCATTTACACCAACATGGGCATATTGAAGCGGAGGCATATGTGTCAATGCAAATGCGTTTCCATTTGTGGTATTCTGGATGCTGATGAGGCGTCTTTTCAACGGGCGTAGGCTGTGCAGACCTTGAATGTATTACCCCAAGACGAGGGACCTTTGTAGTTTGTATGTGACCTGATATCACTGAGTGCAGCGGACGTCACAGCAAACTGGTGCCTTTTATTGAGACTCCCCTTTCACTTACAGATTTCTCCAGTAGCTGAATCCCCTATGAGTACAATGCGGTGAAGATGAAGACAACTCATCACCGGCTCACCCCGCTCCGTATTACCCACGGTCATGACGAAATCCAAGCGCAAATTACAAATGGGCCCAAACTGGCGCGGCTGATGAGTTTCGGTGATACGTCATAATTCTGTAGGCACGATGCAGGCTTGACCAGGGTATGTGGTGGCCATCGGACCAGCGCGCAACGCGGCAGCACAAATGCTAGGCCAGCTGACTGAGGCCATCTGAGAGCGCCTAGAGGGAGCTAAATGGAAAAACCCACGATGAGGCTAGAGAAGATAAAAAAAAAGGTGGTATACAGAGTTACTACGTCGGCGAAGCTGCCAAACCTAACTGAGGGGGATTACAGTCAGACGCTTAGCAATCAGTGATCACCGACCAGATCTTAACCAGAAGCGGTAGACATCCAAACACAGAGGGGCTCATCCTGATAAGGAAGATGGAGTCACAGATCAGGTCGTATCACCAATGGCCCAACGTGATGTGACCAGCTGCTGATAAGACACGGAGCTGTATCGAATCCCTGCCGCAGCCTTGATTTGGCATCTGGCACGCGTGGATAATCACGACTGATGCCTGGAAAGGCAACCCGTGGCTGAGTGATAGCCAGCCAGCACATTTGTGCCCTCCGCAGACAATTGGTCCGTTTCCCCTCATCCCCCCACCCTCAGCGCTTGAACTATGGGTGTCGTATGACTTGAACTTGCATGCAAGATACTCTGCTTTGGGAACATGATGAGCTGGCAATACGGAAGTCGGTAATGAATAGTATTTAAATCCCTCGGTCAGGTCTACCTGTTCTGCGCAACTGCTCTCTAATCAACTACTTCTCGAGCCAGCATCATCTCGCACTTACATTATCAAACAACTTCCTTACAAACATCTCCAACATGGGTACCTCCATCTGCGGCTGTGACGACTGGTGCAGTTACGGGTGCCGCTGCACTTGCCATGGCAACTCCACCTTTTAAATGGCCGGGTATTTGAGTACCTTGCATTGGTTACATACTCTTGTTAGTGACCGGCTCCGGATTGAACGGACTTTGCGGACATCGCTAACAATAGATCCCAGGTTCCGAACTTCCCGATGTATAATGGATCGTTTTTTTTTCACGCTTGTCTAATAATGGGTTGACTGCATTTTGGCCTCAGAATTTGCCGAGGATTTATAGCATGGGCTTCGGCGTTATGGCATTGCAACTTAGCATAGAGTGATAGTGTCGGAAGCTTGCGATAATACGAATACATTTTTTATTATGAAACCATGGCCCCGATTGAATTGGGAAGCTTCGTATATATATTGCAGCCTTTTGATATCCGTGCTGCGCTACATGTGTCTGCCTCGGTTGGGTGAGCGTTATCCTTCCATCCGCTCTCTGCCATGCTTCCAGCAGAGCTCCGTTTACCGTTCTTGATAGAGCTGTAAACCTGCCATTTCACTCTGGTGGTTGAATTGAGATACGGCTTTTGTCTTGGGAGAGAAACGTACTGAGGCTCGGGGTTTTCGCCATTGCAAGTAGCGCCCCGAGGTGAAAGATTGATCCAGAACTTGCCTTGGGCGGCCTTGAATGAGGGACTGTAAGACTCGGTAGGCGATTTTGAGATTAGATTAGACGGAGAGCTGAGGCTGCGAGGTGTAACTGAATCCTGTGAGTCTATCTCGGAAGGTGGGGGATTCGGAGCCGAGACACCGACTGGCGATCACATCGTAAGCCGCCGGAATGGCGGCAACTCGAATAGCGGCAGGAGTAGGAACGATAATGTGGTCTTTTAATGAAAATGGTATTACTAAGATTTGAAACCTATGGTGGATGGACATTTGACAGGAAATTCATAAATATAATACTCTGAAGGCTTGCGTATTGCCCGTCGTTCGAGAATATCAACTCTGCTGGGAACCAATGTTGAATGAAGTAACAATGAAATTGGTACAAAGGGACGTATCATCTCATGAACTGAACCTAAAAATCATGAAAATTTCATCTTAGTCAAACAGGCCTTTCCCTCGCCGATGTGAAAAGAAGGGTCACCAGCGCATCCGCAGCGGTGACCGAGGCAGCTACTTACATGCTCAAGTAATTTATTCCCCTCAATCTCTGTCTAGCCAGAAAGAACCGCTTCATAAATTGCCGCTCGCCATCTCCACCGCCACCGAGATAAATCGGCCCAAGGCTTGGAAAGAAGCCTAGGAAATTTCGGGCCAGTTTATCTATGAGCTCGCCGTTTACCCGGTCCTGTGCTCCGTCGTACTGGAGCAACTGCTGGTCTCCGTGCAGCTTCAAGCGCATAGACTTCATTCTCGGCGAGATCACATCGTCGTCCGCTCTCCCTTCCACCTCCTCCCAAGTAATAACAAAAGAGGCAAGCACAAGCTTTCTCAGTTCCAGACAATGCTTGGACAATGAACGAACCGAACGCATTGTCAAAGGTGTCTGTGTCCCCATGTTCAGTGATAGAATCCTGATATTTTGAAGACGCATCGCAATTTGCTCTATCACACTGTCATCTAATCCCGTAGCCTCGGGATGATTGTCGCTGTGTTCAGCGAGTGTGACTACCTCAAGCGCTGGGCAATATTGCGAGATTGATAGCAGGGCCTGCCCACTAACTCTGCTCCCGTGCGGAAATGATAGGTGAAGATCAGTAATTGATTGGAGATTTGCTACCTCTGAGATGCTCATACATGGAGGTCGGAAATCTATATGGGCGTGCACAAGATTTGGTATACATGGGGCTAAAAGACGCAACGCTTCATTCGAAATGTTTGTAGAAAGGTATTTCAGATGATGAAAACCTTGTATCGGAAACAGATCTTCGATCCATTCATCTAGAATTACCGGTATATCCAATGATTCTAGGGATGTATATTTCGCAACGGCGCAAAAGGCCTCTCGCGACCAGACTTGATCGAACTCGGGCGATAGTGTGAGATGCCTTATAGAACGCAGAGACTGCAGCAATCGCACCACACCTGCCTCGGTAACAGTGCTGTCCGTAGACTGGCCCAGAGAGAGGTTGACCAATCTTGGAGACTGTTCGCCAAGCTGGTCCAGGAAGGCATCGGAGAGCTGGCTGGCTGGCCAGAGGCTGAATACTCTCAAGGTCGGCTGCGCATACCGGATAACGTCATTGCAATGGTTGAAACGACGGATTATGACTTCCCGCAAGAGCGGGAACTGTAGACAAGCCAGATCTTCATGCCACCCAGCCTCAGAAGTTGAAGACTCTGACCCCTCGGGTGCGTCAAAGTCGAGAACCTGGATGAAGTTGGCATACACCTGCGCCCGCTGCTCATCCCGCTTGCACAGCTGGACGAGATGGGCTACATTCACCAGAACACCATAGGTATTACATTCTCGCCACATGAGCTTGCATGACTCCCTGAAGAAGAGACGGTTGACGAAGAGGCAATTGTACAGAAACCTGTCATTGTCCCTGCCGGCCCCGACAATGAGGGCGACGAGCTCGGGCAGTAGAAAAGATCGCCCTGCGGCAGTATCAGACATGATTTAAGGAACGAAGCAGTTCTTGAGGAGGGCGGAGATGGCGATTGCTGCTTATTTGATGCCAGATGGCAGAGCGACGAGCGTCGTGTCACGTCGAGGTTTGGCTGCGACCACGACATTTGGGCGGGGTTTATTATCTTCTGACACCACCTCACTCAAATCAGTCACTCACTGCAACAGTAAGCATGGTCTTTGTGGGCCACGCTGGCTACGTCACATTCATCACATTTTCAGACATGTGTGTTTCTCAATGTGCTGTTTATCCTATTGACGTGATTCGGCATTCATTTATTGGTACTGCCACCCTATCTGATGAGGCATTTAATAGACGGGGGAGAAACTTGTCGTGTCATATTGTTAAGTAGGCATCCCGGCGGAACATTTGCATATAGACTAACCCGTGATAGCAGTTAACGTTAGTATAAAAAAAGACAACATGTTTATTCTTGCATTTCTGCCATCACGGGATGGGAAAATTTACCTAATTCTCTTTTTCAAATTCAATCTCATATGCATGAGCGCGAGCGCGACGAAAATACCTCAGTCAATATAATCCAGTATACTTCCATCTACATCCTCTACCATCCACTTGTCATGGAATTCTTGATCAAAGTCCAAAATGGCGTCGTTAAAACTGACCTCTATGTCCGTAATATCTTGGTTTTGATTGCGGTTGATCGTTGCGCGAGAAGAGGGAATTGTTCCTGAATCATCCGGGTGGTCGGAGTCTGCACTATCGCCCATGGCCGGCGATACAGTGATGGCAGGATGTTGAGAACCGTGCTGTCTGACCAAATCAATGGAACCGAGGGAAGGAATATAAATTTCAACGCGCTGGTCATTTATTCTCGAGTAGCACTCAAATTTATGGGAGTGGTTACCGGTGTAGACCGCCTTAAAACGGGTGCCGTGCGCAACCTCCTCCTCAACAGATAGGATATCGCGGAACACATTTATCATCTTGAAAACGCTCGGATGAGTGCGTGTTAGAGATAGTTCTTTGATTGATTCAAGGGAAACCTCCATCATGCCTCGATCCGTGGGCCTGTGATGAAGCATATGATCCATTAGACCACCGATGTCGCCATCGTCACCAATCATTATATATGATATGCACAGCGCGATACTGGCGGCAAGAGCAAGCATACTCGCACCCAGACAGTAGTATCTTGTTGTCCTATGCATATTCAGCGCCACAAACCGACTCAACAACTCTCGGCTAGCGTTCATGGCTGACATAGTACTGTAATGCGGCTCGTGCTTGGTGTTCTGAACCACCATGTACGGCCAGTGAAGCTGAATGAGCAGATGATAGTGCATTAGTTGATCTCTGATCCGGCCAGACTCTTCAATGCCGCCGAAGGTCTTGGATGGAAAGTATGACTTGGTAGGGTCAAGCCACCACCGAGGCGGCATCCAACCTGCTGCGTTTTGGAGTATTTTATCCATCTCCATTGTCTCCGCCTGGCCTTCGTGGCCTGTATGATGGCGGTTCAAAATACGGCCAGCTACCATGCAATGCACCTCCCTAAGCCGGGTTTGCGGATCAGCAGTCATCGGCTTGGGTGCGTTTAGATTGAGCGGATAATGGTTCTGACAGCTTCCATGGGGTAGACCGAGGATCATGCAATAATAGCTGTCTATATTGACCATCTCAAACCACAAATGGTGAGATATGCGGTGATAATCATCTTCCTTTACATGACCTGATACTGGGTCCGTCTGCTTATGAAGACCTTTTAATTGCGCCATGAGCATCGCTTGACGATGGGTGAGCCAGCCTTTTTGCAAATTACCCTCGAAACAGTGATACATGCTTTCAAGTATCAGACACATAATGCCTTCGAGACTTGTTTCAGTCTCGCTGGTTGCTCCATGCCCTAATATCTTGTGCGCTGAGGTCACAGCGCGTGATATAACATCTTGATGATCAAAGATGAGGTCAGAGTGAGCGCAATTTTGTCCAACATCACTGCCCTGAAGACATACGGCGAGAAGCAGAAGCGATCGAGCGTATGCTGCAGGATTTGATTTTGGCTGCGGTGACTGGAGGACCTGCTCAATGGATGATGGCTTCTGCTGTTGACATTCAATTTTCGAGCCGCTAAAGGTGCCTATCAAGGGATACAGGCTGCATAGTTTGTGGATTGAGTCCCCGAATATTATGTCAAGCTCCCTTTGGTTAGGCCACACCGAGAAGAAGGTGGAGCGAGCAATGTCATTGTCTGCATCAGGGCTAGGAGATACCGGCCCGTGGGCACGATCAACCGGAATTTGGACTTCCATAGCCGGGGATTTGGCTGCAGTATTGTACTTGGATGGATGTATTGAAGAAACAGCTGACCCCCTTCTTTGCCGGTCGTTTCCGGGCGGGCCGGATGATTGAGATGGTGGGCAACTTCGCTCCATTTTGGTATTGTCTGCCAACTTTTTCAATAGCGACTCGACTCGTCCCAGTCTATCAGTGCTTTGGCTCGAACTCTCGGGCTCTGGATGCTCTTGGCTGATGCAAGGAGTGCCACGCCGCTGGCAGCCGTCGCATATGGAGTTCTGGCCGGACGCGAAAGTGCATCGCGCTTTTCTTCTTTTGCACTCCCAGCAGCTTTTGGTACCCTTGCGAAGCTTTCGAGGGGTGACTCTCGCTCGGGATCTGGGTCTTGTCCCAGGGGTCGACATATTTGATGATTTCTTGTTAGACACTGTTACGGATGATGTAGAATTAAGCGGGAGAAGGTTGGTGAATTTGACAAACAACCCTGTTTTGTTGCAAGGATCTGAGATCAGCGCAGCCACTCCATTTCACGAGGCGCACGAGATGCCGCACCGACCATCGCACGAGGAACAAGCTGTCGAGTAAAAGATTTCATGGTTTTTTTTCGTGCTGAGAGAACTATCGTTTGTAAATTTAATTTGTCGATTGCGCTTAGCTGTCATAGTGTATCAAGTTATATTCATGATTTTATATTCGAATACCGTGGGCGTCTATGCAAGAGCCCTTACCCAAACTTCCTTACATTAGGCGTAAATCTGCCCTGTGATATCACTAATTTGGTACTCTTCACTTAATGATTTGACGCAAGACTTGGACGAGGATCGGCATACTTTCTTTGAGTAGAAAGGAGGGTAGATGCTGTAGAAGACTAGGATCTGTGTATAATGGATGAACTAGGTCGTTTAATGAGAGGTGTGAACTTCATTTCTTGCGTGATTAGTATAAGCACCGATGGAAAAATACGCAGGAGGAAGAGTGAGGTGAAGGTAAAATGGGTGGATTTGGGAACCACGAAGGGGCACCAAGTTGTCATGTGAACGTAACCTGAGAGAATTATTTCCCAGCTTGATTGAAAGCAAACATAAGCCTAGCACTTCGTCGGTCCTTGATTCTTTGGTCGATAAAGAAAGATGGAAAATATCGCAACAATCCTTGGATTATGTTAATCTAGATCCCACCATGTAACCTTGTGGGATGTGACTTGCTTCAACGATAAACAGAGGTTACCCACGTGCAGCAACCACGAGGATTGTTGGAGTCGCTCGAGTCTGATCAGCAACCTGGCCAATGATCCACTACCACCAAAGAGTAGCAGCAATGGTAGGCAACTCTGCATATCATCAGCGTCCTTCCAAATTGAGTCTGGTGAATGTGATGGTATTAGATCTTTGGTTGGCCACACATGACAATGATCATCTGTTCGTTCCTGACTAAACCAAACCATGTCTTCTAGTCCAGGTCCGCAACTTGGCTCGGGGCCACAACCATTACGACGCCGAGCACTCAACGCAACTTTCACGGCCGACCAATCACCGATGTCGCATTTATCACACATTCTTTTTCGGGAAACCATCGAGAGCACGACATGGGGTGTGCTTTGCGTGCAATATTCGCCTAGCCATGGTCTAATGTAAGCTTAATGGCTCGAACACGAAGGAATCCCCCGCTTGCTTGCAAGTGACAGAAAAGGCATCGCAAACCCCTCCCTCTTTCCTCTCTCCTGGCCATAAAAGGCGAGTCTTGGTCTATGATCCATATAAGCCTAGTCTGAATAAACTAGCTACCGCAATCATGATTTTCACCATAGCGTACATCGTTCTGAGCATCGTTCTTGGAGCTCAAGCTCTTCTCAACTCAAACTTGAATTATCAGTCCCCATCCAGGAGACAGGAGCATGTTATTCTCGGTATCGATATTCCTTTGGTAGAAAGAAGAGCCTGGAAGCGCAACTCGGAGGAGTATGCTCCAGACGAGCTCAACTTCACCCACGGCATAGCGTCTGGAGACCCATGGCCCGAGAGCGTTATTCTGTGGACACGGATCGCACCAACCGGTGAGTCCGATACGAGCAACGTCACTGTCGAAGGTGATGTCCCTCTCTATAACCACGATACGCAACCCTATATTGATGCCGACCCTCACCCCGTCTGCCTTGAGTGGTCGGTGTTTAAATCCAATAATGGCACGGCGGCGAAGGAGGCTGTGACTAAAGGCACAGCCTTCACTACTTCCGACATTGATTTCACTGTCAAGGTTGTTACTATCGCTAGGCATCTTCTCTGAGATGAGGGGGCTAATCAAATCACAGGTCGAAGCAAGGGGCCTTGAGCCTTTCACAGATTATTTTTACCAATTTGTCGTCTGCAATTCTGAAAACAAGAGCCCTCTCGGGAAAACAAAAACTGCTCCCCGAGAGGATGATCATCTTGATGAAATATCTTTGGCTGTATTTTCTTGCAGCAATTACCGTGAGGATCTTCGTCAGCCATTTTACGCAAGCTTCAACTAAATAGAAAACACCTATAGCCAGAGGATATTTCAACGCTTATGGAAACGCGGCCCGCCGTCAAAAACATGATTTTGTCGTTCACCTGGGTGACTACATCTACGAGAACGCTGATCCAACCGGCGAACGGGCCCACAAGCCACCTCATGTCCTTTTCTCTCTTCACGACTATCGCACTCGCCACAATCAGTACAGAACAGACCCCGATTTGCAGTTGCTATCTAAAGATTGGGCCTGGATACCAACATGGGACGATCATGGTATGGTTGTCGCTTAATATCTCCTTATCATTTCATCAAGCTGACATTAGCTTAACAGAAATTGCCAACAATGGTTACAGAGATGGATACAGCGACTTGGACAACACTGAAGAATCCTTCTTGAACGATGGACCAAGGATTAGCGTCGACCAGAGAAAGATGAATGCAGTCCGTGCTTATTTTGAATGGATGCCCATACGGTTAGTTTTCAGTGTTTTCTCCTCTCTATCAAACAGTCTTCTCATCCACCATATATAGGCAAGTTGATCTTGACGACAACCTTCGGATTTGGAGAAATTTCAAAATGGGAGATTTGTTCGACCTCATCATTCTCGACACGCGATACTACGACCGCAGCATCGCTGATGGCAGTGAGTTTAGCTCTACTTATTCAAGTTTCAAACCACGAAAGAGTCATTAACACCCCAGTGCAGAGGAGAGCAAGGATTACATAGACCTCATTCGGTTTGATGCTGGCCGTTCGATCATGGGCAGTCGACAGGAGAACTGGTTCTTCCGCCAACTGTCCGAGTCTCAGGATCGAGGCGCTGTTTGGCGCGTTGTCGGGAACCAAGTCATGTTCAGCCATCGGATCGAAGATGCGTCAGGCCAGATGGCAGGAGATGATTGGAACGTAAGTGCACGTAGCTTCCCGCCCTGGAAAGCATGTCTAATCGAGCAATAGGCCTACACGGGGAGCCGAAACAGAACACTGAAGCATATCTATGATAAAGAAATAAATAACAACATCTTCTTGGCAGGCGATAGTCACCAGAATTGGGTGGCTGATCTGACCTGGACCGGAAAGAAACCATACGATCCCGACTCTGGCGACGGTTCCGTGGGTGTAGAGCTGGCTGGCACCGCTGTCTCATCCGGTGGTCGTTCGGGGCCTCTGACATCTTCGGACTCGGGTTCACGGACGGAACTGGAGCGTAATTCTGTGTTCCAGTGGCAAGATGGCTACTACAGGGGGTATTTCATTCTTCATCTAAACCATGAAAAGATGACGGCGCAATTCTTTGGCTCCCCTAGTGTGGCGACTCGCAACGGCTGGGATTTGCCATTGGCCAACTTGACGATGCTTCCTGGGGTGAATCACCTTGAGCGACCAGTGGCAGGTGGAAGAGTTGAGACAGGCGCGTTGAGAGGAGGAGAGGTCAAACATACGAACCTGACATTCAACACGGAGACCAACGAGTGGAAGGTGATCGGATTTGAGAAGATGTATCTGTGATATCTCACGAAGAGGATGGGCGCGTCAATGAATCTTCGATCATAGCAATTGTGCCGTCATTTGAGATCCTCCATTGATTATTTCTCTCATTGTACCTAGGTTGAGTACGAAGAAGGAATGGAATATTTCATGCCCATCTTCAAGTTGAAGAAACTCGGCCTATGAATTCGTACACTACAATTACCCCTCGAGGAGGGTGTGGACCGTACAAAATTCAGCCTGTAATAGCATATAGGTACCAGGCAATCAGGGTAGATCTACATTAAGAAGTACATGTAGCGGTGCGCATCAGCCTACGGCCCACGGGGATTCAAAATTAAGATTGTGCTGCCTCGGAGGTTACCTGGGAGATGAGGACCCAATATTGGCGCACGGGTGATGTCGCAAGATGAACCCTTTTCCTTCATTTGCCATCAATTGCCCCTATTGCCGTTTCCCATCACTCTTTTGGCCTCAACGCCTCGCGCTTCTGCATCCAAGATGTCTATTTTAAGTCTACCCAATGAAGTATTATGTGCGATATGTGAAATATCCGGTGAAGACCGGAGATCTCACGAAAGAGACCTCTATTCCATAGCCCGAACTTGCCGCCGGCTGTTCCACATTGCGCTTCCGAGCCTTTATCGCTCCAACTTCTTGTCCAAATATGGCTCGGCACTCGAATGGGCCATTGAAGGAAACAGAACAGCAGTGATCCAGCGAGCGCTCGATTCTGGACTGGACGCGGTGCGGCTTGAACACCTCCGTCTTGCCATAGTACACGGCCCGGACGGCCTTTTTACCAGGCTATGGCAGTACAAAGCGGAACATGGAGGTGTCGAAAACCCGAACACGTATTTACCCCATGATGGATTCCGACGTAGTACCCTTTTTACTACTGCCAGGAATTACGGGAGATACGACGCCTTCAAGACCTTGTTGGAAACTCGCAGAATGTTCGCCAAAGATCGTGATCAAGCGTTATGGGATGCAGCGCATGATGGAAGTCACGAACTGGTGAAGCTTCTCCTAGAGCACGGCGCCAATGCCATGGCACTGCATTGGCACAACATGTCTCCCCTGTCCGTTGCGGCGCGCTGCATTAAGCGCTGCGATTCAGCCAAAAATGTTACGAGCAACCATGACGGTTTCATGGAGACAACAAGGCACCTCCTTAATCACGGGGTAGACATCGAGCACAGGGATGATGAGCGTTACACTGCTCTAGATTATGCCGCGACTGCTGGACACTGCCAAATTGTCGAGCTGCTTGCCTCATACGGAGCCGACCTAAATGCCAAGCACCCACGTCTGGGGTACACGGCCCTCCATATATCGATCTGGCTTGGAGTTGGTCGGCTCGATATGACTGAACTTCTTCTGCGTCTGGGCGCCGACGCTTCTGCGACAGATGACCTGGGTAGAAGTCCGCTCTTCTTTCTGAACAGCTCATGCAAGGAAACAATACCAATAGCCAAGGTTCTCCTGGAGAGCGGCGCTAGCATGGAAGCCAAAGGAGACACTCTTCTTCGCCACGCAGTGGCCTATGGTATGCCCGAACTAGCCAAGTTCCTTATTGAGGAGCATGGGGTCGATGTAAACGCTGTCGATCATAAGGGTGAAACTCTATTCTGTACTGCCGTCGGGTGGAGAGCTTCTATCGAACTTATCAAGTTCTTAATTGAGCGTGGCGCGGATACCACCATGAGAGGAGAAGGAGCCAGCTATGCAATGTTGCGTATGGTCCAGGAGGGTACTGCAGACTTCATCCGCGTGGTGCTTGAAAATGTTGCAAATCTCAAAGAGGTTATGGGATGGAAATCTCTCAGAGACCTCGTCTATAAAGATAGATGGAAGAAGTCGATGCTACATGCGGCTCTTGACCGCAAATCCCAGGAAATCGTTGATTTAATGATACAATTTGGGGGTCATGAAGGGTACTTGGCAAACAATGAAGGAGGTCGTTTGCACCAAGGCGCAATAACCGGAGACATTGCCCTGATGCAGTCGGTATTGGATACGGGTGCATCACTTGATGCAGACAGGGATGTACGGGGCGACACAGCTCTCGTTGTTGCCATTAATCTAGGGGTCACTGCTTCTATTAACTGGCTCCTCGAGAAAGGGGCCAGTCCGAACACGGAAGGTATTTGGTTTTCAAAACTCACACCACTTCACCACGCGACCGGACGAGATGCGATAGAAGCGGTAAGGGTGCTTCTCAAACACGGAGCCAAGGTAGGAAGCAAGACCGGCGCTGGAGAGACGGCACTCCACATGGCCTCGCGCTCTGGTAATACTGAAATAGTCAAGATGCTCCTTGAGTCTGGTGCCCATATCTGGGACCCAGATGATCGAGGCATGACACCCATGCAGTTGGCCTCGCAATTCCATCCTAAAACTGTGCTCCCGTTGCTCACTGAGAAACCTTTGAAGGCTGGAAAGTCTCGTAGGTCGAGACGCAGAAATCGGAAAAGGACTTCCCGCTAGAGAGAGGCGAAGCGATATTTTCCCCTGAGGAGCCACCGGCTATGTTTACTACCGTGTTAAGTAAAATAAGTTAGAATTTTGAGTAAAGTATAGACTAGAACACAGCAACTAATCTGTTCGCATTCCAGCTATTGTGCGATTGGATGATTGGTTGACTTCAGTATAGCTTGGCATCCAAGAGCTTCTCAACCCTCCCCAAGATGATGATTAAACCAAACCAGGGCTTGATTAAACGCCTGCTCCTTGGCGAATCGCTGTACCCTATCTTCTGGGTCAGCTCTGACAGCAAAGCCATGCTCCACAGCGCCATAAAGATTGATCTGATATTCTTGACCTGTGGTCTTCAAAATCTCCTCCGCCTCGTGACGCTTGTGGGTTGGGAAGTACTCGTCCACCCCTGCTGCCGCAATAGACAGTGGGCCTGAGATTCTCGCAAATTCACTGTTTTCTACAAACGATGGATGTGCCAGAAACGCGCATTGAATGCCATGGTTGTAATTGCGCACGACGTACTAGGCAAGAATCCCAAATTAGTCAAAGCAACTAGCCAGAGAATCCGAAAGCAAGACGTAAATACCTTAGCGCCAAAGCAATAGCCAGCGGCTCCGATCGTGCTGAATCCCAAGCCCTTCATATACTTGATACCGGCAATGATGATTGGATCAATTTGTTCCGCAGTATGAGGATTGTTTCCGTCGGAGCCGCGGGCTATCCACCCGTTCAGATCGAAGTTCTCGGGCATCTTCAAGGGAACTGGGTCGCCATTGAAAATATCCAGAATCAAGCAAGGGTACCCTTTGGAAGCGAACGCATCAGCCATCAATTTGCTGGTTTGCCAAATACCGAATACGTTTGGAACGTAGATGAGGCCGCAGTTTCGATTGAGGATGCTTCCGCTTTCGGGACTCGCCAAGTATGCGTCGATTTCATTTCCAATCTTAATATCATTCCCAGATGGAGTTCCGCTTATCGGTCAGTCCCAATATCGTCAGTCCGAGGGCCGGAAAACATACCGATGGAGTGTTTTGAAGCCACGACTCAGCTTGGCTCCATCTGAAGACAGGTGGGTAATGCTATGATGGTGTTCGGGTTTCAAAGCTCCGGCAATTCCAAATTGACTATGTCGAACCAATGACCGTCTTGCCGGTAGAATGCTTTTCGAAGACCAAAAGCGCATCATCCTAGGTTTTGGTGTTGATGTCGATCGGAAATGAATGTGTCGAAGTGCTAAACCGGACACAGTGACTAAAGAAAGGCTAAGAGGACTAAGAGGCTGAGTCATAGGCCCGGATAGCGGATTAGCGATGGGAATAATCAGGATTCAGAGGCGTGGATACAGTGCCTAATTTAGAGACAAGGGTTGTAATCTGACTCCTTAACCACAGCTGAACCGAGGGGCTGGATTTAAATAGAAAAAAGCTATCTTAAGCTATATTATAAAGTTTAGGGAAATAGTATTATACCTTAACTAGGATAATAAATTACTTAAATCTATATTTTATAATAGCTTTAAAGAAAAAGTTAAGAACTAACTCTTTAAGATAATAAATTTAAAGACCTATCTGTTGGAAGGGCTTTATCCCTCTGGAACCACTGCCTAGGTCCCGGGCTCTTGGCCGGGACTCTTAGCAGTAGATGGTTCAGGTGATATCTAACGGTGGTTGTATTCAACTAGCTAGAGGGGTCAGAGACCCCTATTTAACCTGCACGTAGGTCACGTGATAAGGCAACGCCGATCTGTTCAGACAATTACTTCATTTTATTACTGAAATCACTCGTTCACAAATAATATGAAATGAATTTTTAATACTATTATCCAGTATTGCAGTACACTAATTCTTCTTTGAATATATATTACTTAGTAGGGTGAATGCACGAGTTGTTCAACGTGGCTTTTGCCGCTTTGATCCATAGTTAGATTTAAGTAGCTTCCTTTATTTCCCACGAGTTCGCCCTCAACGAGAATTAGCCGCAAAAGCTAAAGATTAATCGAGCTCCCTCGAGTCAATGCGAAATTTTGCATTGATTGTCGTCGAAGGAGGCAAGCCCTCAAAGTTCGCCAGCTCCGGATTCAGCTTCATGATTGCTTTCCTCCAGGATGAATTCTCCGGTGCAGACAACCGACTCATTGACAAAGGTATCAACGACGACGTGGCCGTGGCAGCAGGAGATCTGAGTATAATGTCAATCCATCGCTGAAAAACTTCGTCACGTATATGGAGCCTCCAATTCACAAAGCGGAGAAAAATGCGTTCATTCGCATTGATCTCGGTTGTGCTGAGCCCGGAAATCTTACTCCAAGCTCGAGATGAGTAGTTACGGTCCTGGAGGTACTTTGAGGCCAAAATGAGCGCCGCAAGAAACATGCGTCGGCCGCACTGAAGGGCAAGGTTTTGTTGAGTTCCCTCCTCCCGTTCCAGAGTCGTGATGTGCTTGTGTACATGGGACTTGATAAGTATTAGATAGTATAGTGCCACTTGGAGAACAGAGGTGCTGGTCCGTGAGCGCCGCAGCGTTTCCTGCATAAATGTGCGCAATGGCAACACACTTGTATGCGTCGTGGATGAAAGAGGCCAGATCGTCTCGGCAATCTGCGCAGAAAAATCTATGTCAAGGGAGAGTCAGTAGAGCCCTAAACAGGAGGACAAGTGTCAAGGACGTTTGTACTATACCAATCATGCTATCAACAAAGGCGGATTTGCCGTTAGACAAATTAGTCAAAGTGGTCCCGCTATGAGAAGACGGTGGATGACTTGGCTGCCTTGGTAAGCTGGGCAAGTTTCGAACGCGAGTAACCAGTGGCATAGATCGAACCAGAGTCACCTGTTTTGCTGGTGTCCCTGGATTGTTGGCCATGGAATCTGGACTTCCACACTTGATACCGGCAGTTGCAAGTGAATCCTCCTCCACCGCGATGTCCCATGGCTCCCTGCTGATAGGGAACGTGACTGGAGGTTTCAGTTCAACGGAGCTTGAAGCATCGACTTCATCTAGCATCTGTACTATGCCCTTATATCCTCTATTTAAAGCCAGCTCTCGCAGCCCCATGCCATAGTAGTAGCTGGAGTTCAGGTTGACGCCACCATGCGATAATAGTTGCTTCACAACTGCCACATGGTTATTTTCGATTGCCATTATTATTGGTGTTCTTTTCCTGTTGTCTTGCAAGTTAAGGCCTTTACTATCGTAGGCAAGTAGTAGCTTTACCATAGATTCGTACCCGTACTCTGCTGCAAGTGATAACGGCGTCTGACCATCAATATCTTTCGAATCAATGTCGACCTGCTTTGTTTCGAGGAGCATCTTTGCAATTGTAACGTTTCCGTTCCCTGCAGCCAGCGAAAGAGGCGTCTGTCCGCAGCTATCTCTCAAATCAGGGTTAATGCTACGTTTCTCCAGAAGCTTTTCGACCGCCTCTGAAAGCCCGTGCGCAGCGCACCATGAGAGTGCCGTCCAGCGATTCCTATCGGCAAACTCCAGATCAATTCCATCCGCATCTAGTAGCAGCTTGACCACAGACTCATGGCTTTTTTCAATGGCAAGAAGCAGTGGTGTCCGGCCACTTGCATTTTTCAAATTGGGATCAATTTTCTCATGTGCAAGTAGCAGCTTTACCAGCCCCTCGTTTCCCTCTCTCGAGGCAAGTAACAACGGTGTTTGAGTATACTGATCTCTCGCATTCACGTTGACCCCGTCTCTCGAAAGTAGCAACTTCACCACTTCAATGTCTCCATTGTTTACTGCTAGAAACAGCGGTGTCAAGCTATCGGGGTCTCTCGCATTAGGATCTGTAACTCTCACCGCCAGAAAGCGTTTGACAATGCTGGCGTATCCATTTCTCACAACGAGTGAAAGCGGTGTCCAACCCTTGTCATCTTTTGAGTTTGGGTCGACATTAGGGTTTGCCAGCAGAAGATCCACCACATCTTCATGTTGATTCTCTGCAGCAAGTGATAGTGGTGTGCTGCCGTACTTGTCTTTAGTGTCCGGGTTGGTACCAGCTTTGGCAAGGAGTGTTTTGACAACCACTTGATGGCCGTTTCTTGCCGCCAGTGACAGTGGCGTCCAACCGTCAATATCCTTGGCATTGGGGTTAGAATTTTTGTCGATGAGTAGCCGTACCACGGCTTCATGACCATTTCTCGCGGCCAACAGTAGCGGTGTTTGGCCGTATTTATCTTGCAGGTTGATGTCAACCCCATCTTTGTCCAGGAGTGTCCTGACCACTAGTTTAGACCCATTTTCTGCTGCCTGCGACAAAGGTGTTTGACCATTAATGTCTCGCGTGTTCACTTCAACACCCTCCTCTGCAAGTAATATTTCCACAATGGTATGGTTTCCAGCCTTTGCGGCTAGGAGAAGAGGAGCGCAATCTTCCTCGTCTTTGACGTTCAGATCCACATTCTTCTTGATGAGCAGCTCGACCACGTCTTCGTTTCCTTCCTCAGCAGCGTATGAAAGTGGCGTCCGACCATAGCCGTCTTTAATATTAAGATCACATCCGCCCAGAAGCTCGTTCAGGACTTTCAAAACACCAAAGTATGCCACTAAGTGATGCCCAGTCATTCCCGTTGGCGACGCGTTGATATCGCTTCCCAAAAAGCTCTTAGCTTTCATTATTACCTGGCTCGCGGCCTCCACCCGAGACTCACACCTCAGAAAGTCAAAAACTGCTTTTGGGAGATCTGAGACTTCGCGAGCATGATACCCCCAGTTCATAGCGGCGTAGTCGTATAGAGGATTTGACTGGAGTCGACGATGGAATTGTCTTAATGTGGTGCAGTATCCGCTTTGAAAAACCTCGAATGAAAGATAAGTAACGCATATGGTCGTGATGTCGATCTGCGCGCTGGGAAACCAGTTCGTCCATGTCCGCTCGAAATACTGCTGCGTCGTATAATGCACCAAGCGAATGGTGCCGCTCTCGTCATCGACTGTGACTAGGCCAGTACAGACGGAGCGTAAGATTCTGGTTGTGGGGATATAGTCATCGTCCATTGTGGTCATCCCTGGCTTGACCGCAAGCGCGTGTCGAAGCTCTTGCGTGGAGAGTGGCCTTTTCGCGTGAATAATCCATGCCAGGATTTGTTTGGCTAGCTCTCGGTAGCCCTTGCCCTGGTCTTCTATCCTTCTCATAGCCAGCTGATAGGTCTCATCTAATCCTTCTACTCCCTTGGCAAGATTTTGCAAGGCTTGCTTCACGTCCCCCTTTGTAGGCAGACCCACGACTGTGTTCATATGCAGTTCAGCCAGCAAGAACCTGAGACTACGTATGAGATAGGCTTCTTGGAATGCATTGTGGGAGGACTTGACTTACATCCCGTTAGCCGCTCTCACAATCTCAGACACTGTCATATTCTGGAGATCTGTGTCAAATATGTCCGATTGTTGTAGTTGCATCTGCCCGGCAAGATATGCCCCCAAATCTTTCGCACTGGCTTCAATCTCAATTGTCAAGGCCCCATGGAAGGCCTTGGAGATGTCATCATTCACGCGAGATGTTGCAAATATTCTTGTTTCGGTCTTTTCTCGAAGGTTAAACAGTTCTGTTAGCAGCTTTGATCTGCATGCGCCTATTGTGGTACACTCATCCAGAGCATCCATAACAATGAAAACTTTTTCATAGGCACCCATAAGATCAAGCAGAGTTTCTGAGAGCTCGGCAACTGATGGTTGCGTGTGTTTGTGCTTGTGGCGGCCATAGAGATCTTGCAGAGATACTGAGATAGAATCTTGCTCTTGAGTAAGCTGCTTTAACAGACTAGCCAGGTAGTGCTCAAGCGTCTGTTCCTGTTGCCGTCGAAAGTTGCAGTACAAGTATGCAACACCAACATTAGAACCTTTGGTGAAGGTGTTGCTGAGGTGGTCTACCACGATGGACGTGAGGATTGTCTTCCCTGCTCCTGGGATCCCCGAGCAGAACAAAGTGGCCTTACTGCTCTTCAACCAGTGTTGATATTGACTCGAATCAAGGAGCCATTGACCAGTTCCAGGTTGCCGTCTTCTAAGGAAGTCGCTTTGCTGAAGAGCATAGTTGGCAGGTGTCAGCCAGTCGAGTAGGCCTTTATGCTTCGTTTCTGCGAATCGTTAGGAAAGGACGCATTTATATACAAACAAATGAATGAGTTCAAGAACGTCAATTATGACAGCGAATCGTTGGTAAGCGAAAGTGTGGTCACGTTGTGAAGAGGTGCCCAATGCTTATACTGACAATGTTGCATACCTTGTATGTTGCTGTCTGTCAACTGAGCAAGTTCATTGACGGACTTGGTCACAGTACTTAAACCCTTCACGACTACAGGGTCATGGTTAATTAAAGCCAAAAACACCTTGTTCCATGCTTCACTCACCATCCTGCATCGTCTCCTTCATGGTCCTTGTGCCTCCCACTTCTGAAAAATCACATTTCTGAAGTAGAGCTTTGGCATAGGCAGCAGCGACGGCAGCGGCATAATAATGCCATTCATCCTGCTTGTGCGTATCGGCGTAGTCGCATATACCCCGCACAACAAGGCACGGAATCTCGTCTGCGATGCCAGCCGCCTCCATCTCGAAACAAATAGCGTCTTTCTGATCCCGCTGCAATCGATTGCGGTCATCGGGGTTCTTAATAACGCCACCTCCGGAAAGGATCAAACCTCGATGGACCACCGGCAGCCTTGGTTTATCACGCTCAGGACGATCCAAAACCTTCTCATCGTCGACATCTAGACACCTAGCGCAGCCCTCTCCTTTACTAACGTGATGAAAGCTCTCGTGGAAGAGAATATCGTCACTGCTTGGCCGCTTAAATACACATTGTCTAGTGATAGTCCGTAATATTGACCGAAGGGGGCTCCTGTTCATTATCTCGTCCTCTTCCAAGGAGCCATCGGCGCTGATTAAGATAGGCGGAGGTTTATCAAGGCATCCCTTGAGAGAAAATGCACCATCTCGCTCGTACTTTCCATAATCATATTCCAGTACTCCAGGATGGCCATCTTTGGGAATACTAACGGCGATATCACCCAGGCGAATATCGTGATCGGGAAGACGAGGAATGCCGGCGCCGATACCAACTATGAGGGCAAATCGGACATGGGGAAACTGCTGGCAAACTGTCGCGGCACACTGGGCGGCCTTAACAGGCCCCATTTGATGGGGTCGAGCTATGACGATTTTATGCTCCCCGATGCGACCAAAGGAATAAACATATTTCTTTTGACCTGACGCCCTTGGACGGCAGAGGAATTCCTGATCCAAGCTGTACTTGACCGCAACCGATTCGTAGGGAAGAGCGCAGAAAATAGCCACCGTAATATCATCTGGATCTATCTCGTTTAATGGTTCCAGATCGGATTCTTCGTCCGTGTCTTCATCTTGTTTACGCTTTTTGCTCTGGTCGGCAGCCTGTTGGGCATCATCGGACATGCATTTTCGCTTCTCCATTGTGCGGGGAAGCCGTTTACCAGCACGACGACATAAATGGCCGCTCTAGGGATAGGTGCTCAGTCACACAATAAATAGTGATAATAAAAGCTAACAGTAATTATAGGCAATGAAGATACAACAAGATGCAAAGATTCGTTTCCCAGCAGCACATTGAGCGGGGCGAACCATCTGGTCGCCTTGGGATGGTTGCAAACAAAGCACAGCCACTTGGGATGGTGGTAAGCACAGCCACTCAAGGTGAACATGAGGCGATCGAAGTGGATGTAGCAACCGATCCTGTGGCTTACTTCTCTCGAGGGTATCGGTGAACAAGCCACGGGCTGACACCATGAAGGAGACACAGTACGGGTGTAAGAACCGATTTGAACAACAGGCGCCTTTTTGAAGGAAAGTTGTGCAATGCCAGTGCAAATGCATCAGGCAACAAAGGTGGGAAAAGGGAAGAGAAGGAAACTTACCAATCACAGGCCTGCGCAAATCCGTAGTGGGCCCTCAGACGGCGGGATTCAGAACCCGTCAAAATCCCGCCGTTCCTCCTGCTTTCAACACGCCTGCGCTCAAATACCATATCGTTGATCCGTTCCATCACCTCCCGCATATTCACTGATTCAGGTGCTTACTTGATTGAGTAGCAGTGTCCAGACCGCGATGGACGCCAATCCCGCCGCGCGCAAATCAGCCCCCTACGGCCACGCTTGTGCGGGCTGCTCCAAAGCCAAGTGCAGGTGTATTGGCCGGGGGCCTGCGGGCACGAGCTGCGAGCGATGTCATCGCCTGAATAAGGAATGCCAGCCCTCGACTGTCGTTCGGAAGCGCCCGGCTCGTCGTGTTGTTCCCGCCACATCCAGGAAGACCTCCGGCCTGGAGGCTAAATTGGACGATTTGGTCACCCTGCTGAAATCCCAAGCGGTCGTTGCCGCGGCCTCCAGTTCTACAGAGACTGCATCCGGTGCTACACAGCGCCCTACCAACGGTGTCGTTCCTCCCACTGATCAAACAAACAGCCAGGCACAGCCTGGAGCCCTATGTCAACCCCCTGTTACTGCTGAATCAAGCTCATCGCCGTCCTTTTTGTCGGGAACATCATCTTCCTATGCCGCTACACCGCCAGGCTTCCTTCCACATGTGGTGGAAGGCTCCGCCGAGTTGACCATCATGGAAGCTGAGGGCATCTTAAAGACCTTCAAGGAATGCCATTTGAAGACATTTCCATTTCTTGACCTCCCAGACCACCTCAAGTATGTTTGCAACATGTCATTGCAATTGCGGAACCCACCCAAGCACCGGCAAAATGCATGCTAACTGATCCTTGTCACAGTATTGGAAGCTTCCAACGCGAACAACCATGCTTGTGGCTGGCCATTCGTGTTATCCTTAGCCGCTCGTCATCGGAGAAACACATCCTCGACACACAGTTCCGGAATTTAATAGGTCAGCGGATGCTTGTTGAAGCAGACCGCAACATGGACTTGTTACAAGGTCTCATAACATGGCTGTCATGGTATGTATATCTCAGGCAAATGACTCACAGCAGAAATCACCAACTAATGCTATATGCAGGATGATGGATCATAATAGAGAAAAGAAAACTCTATGTTTATTTTCCAATATCGCTTGCTCGTTGGTATTTGACCTCCGCTTAGATAGAACGGCCGGGCAAGAGTATCCCTGTAAAGAGACGAGTGCCGCATTTGCATACAGCTTTCCAGTTAAATCTCGAGCGCCAGCGCCAAAGCGTACAAATCAAGAACGAAGAACGGTACTAGCTTGCTTTTGCATTTGCACAAGGTGAGTGGTGTGTCTTGAACTGCTTTCTACCGATGCCGAATTGCTTACACTATACAGCATAGCGGATTTCCTCAGATCACAGTCGATGCGATGGACGCCTCATATGGAAGATTGTTTACAGCACCTCATCAATAACCCAGAGCTTCCAGGTGATCGAACTCTGGCAGCTATCACGCAAATCCTCCAAGTCACGGATGACATGCTGGTTGCGTATAACAGCCGCTTCTTCGAGGTCGAAGCCGGTCTAACTCCAAAAGCACCATTGATGATCTACGTCAAATCATTGTCCGCTCGGTTGGATGCCGTCACCAAATCCATTCCGCCGGAGATTCTCAGTGACAGTGAGCTCACCTTTTGCTTTGTCAGGCAGCCAACTCTCTCTGTACCTACACTACTAACAAAACTGAACTCGAAGAGTATGTACAATCGTACGTTACCTGTGCTGTGGCCAGCATCAACGAGTTGGGGTTGCCGTACCTCTACGACCCGACGGACACCACTGGTTCTTATGACCATCGCAACTCGGAATGTGTTTTCGCATGCATCGAATCGTCCAAGCAATGCCTTGAGAACGGCGTGTTTGCGCTATCCTCAGATGATTGCCTTGGTCTCACGTTGATGGTAGTTATTCACCTGGCTCGTTGCACACACATTCTGTACAGGTTATGTATCACCCAGCATCCAAGCGTGGATCGCCAGATGGTACGAAACTCGGTAGATCTATTCGGCCTGATGGAGAAGATTGCCGAGAAATTCAGCAAGGCAGCTCACGCCAAGGGGGCGTACAGCTTCGAGGCAAACGTGTTTATGAGGGCCTCCGTCGTCATGAGACAGGCAATCCCGCTTTGGTCGAGAACATTTGCTGAGACGGATGCAGCCGTCGCAGCCGCTGCTCGAAACACAAACGTGCCTCAAGAGCGATTGACACCCATGCCTTCGATAGCAATGACGCCTGCCACGGCTGGAGATGGAACGGAAGAGTTCACGCCCATGGATTTGTCTGAGGATGCGTGGTTGGACCTTCTTACAAACTGGGACGGGTCGTACTAAGACCGGCGTTTCAGGTAACGAAGATGTTCATGTATAATTAATTAATTTTAAGCAAAATATGTGCAAGATAAGTAGATGAGGATTGATATGTAGTAAATTTCAGGACGGGATTCAACCGTAATTATATGCTGACTGCCTGGAAGGAATGGCGGGCCGGCTTTGAAAACCGGCGGGATTGGACGGGATTTGGTTCTGCGTCAGGGGGAGAATACATAAGACGATGTTTGTTGGCAGCAGGTTACATACGTACGATCTGTCCTACCTATATTATGTTAACAGACGTTTCTGACCGTCCCAACGAAGAAAACCAATGTAACCGTCACACCTACACGCACGAGTCATCGAACCTCCTCTCTACCTCGCCAAACCACGCTCTAGCCCAATAGCTTGGTGGACGAGAAGGCCTCTGGACCCTGGTCACCAGCTCAAGCAAAAATGGACGCGACCAAAGAAACGGCCGTCGCTACGATTGACGCAACAGACATCGTCAAGAATAGCAGCGCCACGTCATCTTCCAAATCAGAAGGCGACCCAGATCATACGGACGCGCCAGTTGTCGCCATTGGTGATGCGACACCGTATCTCACAGGCTTCAAGCTGTTTATCCTCATGACGGGATTGACAACTCTGATGTTGCTCGTCATGCTCGATATTGCCATCCTTAGCACCGTACGTTTCTCACCTGGCCAATGAGCATAAATTGCTAGATGTTTACGGGATAAAGAAAGCTAACGATGTGTTCAACCATAGGCAATCCCCCAAATTACCAGCGATTTCAATCGTCTTCAGGATGTTGGGTGGTATGTGGGAGCGTACTCGCTTGCGAGCGCCACCGTTCAGCCTCTCACGGGAAAATTCTACACATATTTCAGCACCAAATGGACACTTCTGACATTCTTTTTCATCTTCGAGGTCGGGTCTGCCGTCTGCGGCGCTGCTCAGTCCTCTGTAATGCTCATTATCGGCCGATGTATTGCAGGAATCGGGTGTGCTGGTCTTTCGAATGGGACTTTAACGGTTATTGTTGGCGCGGTATCCAACGATAAAAGGCCACGTGAGTGAATCGAAGATCTAATTATATCCAGACACGTGCTTATTCTTATGACAAATATAGTTTACACTGGTGTTGCTATGGGCAGTAAGTTTTCCGAATGCTCAAGGCAATTCTCAGATAGCACGTCGGAGTGATACATGTCGTGTAGTTGGCCAGATCGGCATCATCATCGGTCCCATCATTAGCGGCGCTTTCACAGAACATGTAACTTGGCGCTGGTGTAAGTTTCCAATGACCTTTTTACACTTGAGACGCATACACAGCATATTAATTACTGATCAGGCTTCTACATAAACCTCCCTCTTGGGGCGCTTGTGGGCATTTTTCTCATATCGATTCATATTCCCGACCATATCGTAAAGCGACCTTTGAGTACCGAGGTACTGAAAGAAATCTTTCACAACTTGGACCTCACCGGCTTTGCTCTCTTTGCACCTGCCTCCGTTATGCTTCTGCTCGCCCTCCAGTTTGGATCTGGAGACTACGGATGGAAGTCACCCGCTGTGATCGGCTGTTTCTGCGGTGCCGGGGTTGTAGGAATTCTGTTCCTTCTGTGGGAGAAGAGAATGGGAAAGAAAGCAATGATTCCGCTTGAGCTGGTGAGGAGGCAGGTTGTGTGGAGCAGTTCAATCTACTACGCCTGCTCGATGAGCGTGACGATTGGAGGAGGCAGTTTCATGCCTATTTACTTCCAGTCCGTCCGCGGACTCGCCCCTACAATGAGTGCTGTCTATATCCTTCCTTCCATCTTTGGACAGATTTTCTTCATTCTTCTCTCTGGCGGATTAAGTTAGTTTCGCACCTCCGGATTCGTGTCTGCACATGCTAACTTGTATATACAGTGACCAGACTGGGATACTATATCCCTTGGGCAGCTTTTGCAGCTGGGGTTTCCAGTATTGGCAGCGGCATCATCGGGACTTGGAAACCATATACTACACTCGCCCAGATTTTCGGCATTCAGATTCTTTACTCTGCTAGGGGTGCCGGTATGCAAGCTGTAAGTAAATATTGCATGAATACTCGTGATGAAGCCCCGAGCATTACTGACGCGCAGAAACTCTAGGGAGCCGTAGCACTTCAGAACACACTACCAGCAGATGAGATTGCCGTCGGCACCTCTTTTCTCATCTTTTGCCAAAATATCATCAGCTCCATCTTCGTCACCATCGCCAACACTGTTTTCCAGGAGAGCCTGCGCTCCAGGATTACGAACAATGCCCCCGGCGTGTCCCCCGAGCAGGCAATCCTGGCAGGCGGCAGCGCGGATGCAGTGAGGAGGCTCGCACCAGCTGGGAGTGAGCTCCTTGAGAAGGTGCTGCTGGCATACTCGGAAGGCTTCGGCGACGTCTTTTACTTCTACACGGGAGTTGGTGTAGTGTCGTTCTTCGCATCTTTCGGGATGGGATGGGTCGATTTGAGGAAGAATGTTGAGAAGAAAGATGAGACCGAGGGAACCGATGTTGAGAAGCAGAAAGTGTGAGGAGGGTAAGCAAGCGACTGACATAAAACATTACACACCCATGACCTCCAGCGTTGAATTTCAACACAATATCAAAACATCAATCAATAATGATCTATAATAACAAGCTGAATACTAAACAACAATAATAAATAATTTTCTTACTACTGTATTTGGTATTATTAATAAGGAAATGAGGTCACTGACTTGCGTGAATAGAGCTTTGGTGTGCAATGTTTAATGTCAGTCGCTTGGTAAGCCAGGAGAACTGGAATATGCTGGACAGTGGGGAAGAAATAGCCGTACGACAGGGTTAATTGTTGTGGTTGTAGGATTAATGGGCTTTTCTTTGTTAGTTTAGAAATAGAAAACTTTCCTGTCAATGGATGGTTGAGTAAAGATCAGCAAGACATATGTATATGTGTCCTCTTTTGAAGGCTGTGACAAGATTACGATTGCTGATTTTCTCTGGCTCTAATGATTCTAGTCGTAAGAGATCAACTGCCCATTGGCATCACCTATGCCCCTCGTTCGGCACATCAAATACAAGGGCCTATATGCCGGCCCATATATGTGAATGCCTGCCGTATGAAATAATTAGTTTCCCCAGGTTGTACCTGTTCAATTCTTGGAAGGTTTCATTCAAAATACCGTTATCTTACCCCTGTAGTTGCGACTGCCAAGACTTTTCGACTGGGATCCGCGCTTGCAATTTTCCCCCAATCTAGAACATGTATCACTTTCATGACGCGCGTCTCATGGTCCGGGCAAGATAGCATCTACAAACTTCATTGTCCTCATCGCCCGCCATGCGAAGAGGCGGGCGCTCCGGGCGAGGCTTGGCTAGAGAAATGATGCTCATCATCGTCTTCATCACGCTGGTTGGCGCATCGCTCAGCGATGGGCTCAAGAACCTGTCACCAAATTACACCCGTACGATCGGAACCCCCGGTTATAACGTCTCGGAGACGTTTCCTGGCAGTGAATTAGATTGGGAGCTCTCACTAAACTTCTATTCTGATGTTCCTGGTCAAGTACGAGGGAGGGATGATCTGTACTTGGCCGCAATCCAGCTTGTGTGGGACCCGCCAAGCAGTGTCCCACGGGAAAGCGATGGAAGTGTGAAGGCTGATTCGCGTTTCTACTACTGCCTCAGTCCATTGAAATACAAAGATCCCAAGGTCAAGGCAGGTGAGGCCCTGGACGCAAGGTGCAAGGGGGCAATTTCAGACTCGTGTCTCGAGGATCTGCAGGAGATAATCGAGGGCGGGTCATGGTGCGCTACCTCGAGCTGGCCCAGCTCATGCATGGAGCATTCGCTGGATAAGTCTGAGCTGCACAGTAAGTTCTCCTGTCCAACTCTGGCCCTGAGATGGTCTTTCTGTGACGAGAGTGATTTTAAAGGTTAGCATAGTGTACGGCCGAGTGAATTTAACGAATACTCCAAACTCTCTCGTTACGTTCCCCTACAACCCTGACGGGCATGAAAAAGGAGACACATCAGAGTTCGAGGAGGCGAAAGATGTAGCCTGGATTGTTATGACGGGATTTGCGGGGGCTACAGTGGATGGAAAGCTGGCGACAAATGCGAACGTACGACTCAAGAGTGGCATATCATGCATTCGTGGTTCTAGTCCAACAAAGGTCACATCAATCGGGAGTAGGATGGTAGAAGTTCTACCAACATTGACATCACTTGTAGTAGGGTTTGTGGTTATCACCGTTTGGCTTTCATCCAGTTGGTCTTGTTTATGATATTAACAGGAATATGCGAATTTCATAGTATGTTTTGATAATCCTTCGATTGAAAGATTTTACAATTATATCATCATCGTCATGCCTTTAGACAACGTAATGGGCCCCGTTCTTTGTCGTTGTTCAAACATGGACCTATATCTAGTCTTTGCTCATCATTAACCCTCCAACGATGCTAACCTCAAAACACCTTCTCTACATTTTATGATACTGAGGTTGTGAAATTAGCCACTACCTTTGTGGACTGCTTGTACTGAGGTGATCAATAACATTGTGTATGTGTGAATCTAAGGTTCTACAACTCGAATAAGAGCATTTGCTTTTTACTCAATGAAGCTGATTATTTTTGAACAGACTTATGAAGTCTATTTGTTCTCATGGCTGTTGAGGAACTATTGTTGGTTTTCTTGAAACAGTCAATATGAAACTTCTAGATACTCCCTTAAGCAGAGGAGCTTAGAAATAGACCAGGTGAGGCACAGCTTTGTATTCCAATTTTCTAATAAGTTGCTGTCGAACTAGCTTCAGTGTTATAAAAAATAGCATTGTCTACATTGAGTAGCAAATAAATAATTATACCAGCTCTTTCATCTGCCACAAAGCAAACTATCTGGATGACTGCCTCTGTATTTTATCTCAAATCATCCTGTGACAGCGTGACAATAGTTCTAATAAGAGAAAATTTTATTGTTGATTTAAGTCGTAAACAACTACTAAGACTTAACAGATGCGCTCTGAAAAATCCCGAATTTGGTCCGATTTACGCCGGATAAAAGCAATAAAGAGGCAACGATACAATGAATAGTCGTGGCTCGAGGTGCAAAGACGCTGCGACGAACTCTAAGCGCCCTGAGACTAGGAAATCAATAATTTAGGGCGGATAGAACTTTTATCCGATTCTTTCTTCCCTTGTGTCTCTTTATCCAGGCTTACACCGCAAAAATACATCTGCCTCCTGAATCAGTTCATCATTGGGAATCATTGCGGGTCTTTAGTTAGATTGGAGCATTATCGTGATTGGAATGGATACGTCTTTCTAGTGGAGAAGGTATCCAATATCTCCATCGATCGTCAGATAATTTCGGAGGCATGTCTATTTACGATGAATTGGGCCTAGAGAAGCCGCAGCGGGGAGCGCTGGCTTGTGATGCTCTTGAAATGCAAATGTCTCTTTTCCAACACCTCGCGCATAGCTGATTACCTGCAGATTATAGTCTTAGATAAAGCTCACACACCGATAAGTTTGGAAGTATTCTTTTGGCGTCTTAAGAAGTGTGTTATCTTCCTCTTGCCATAAAAAGGCTGCTCCGTGATCAAAGAAGCAGGTCTAACTTGGTGGCTTTCGAACGATGAGTGGTCGCCTTGGTGTGGTGGTAGTTTGATCCGCGTGGCGTTCTGCCTGCAGTACCAAGGAAAGCGTAACCTGTTTTGCCGACAGTCTATACGGAGCCCAGATCTCCTCAGGTAGCTCTCTGTTCCCAAAGTGCAACCCAAACGACGCCGACAAGGGTGCAACGGCTGGGCGGTGGGGGGCCCGATGCAACCTCAGCGCTCGATGAGCAGTCAATCCCTCGATTCCCCATAGGCCGGCTATCTCAGCTGGCCACATTTTCATGTACCTTGTAGGTCAATTTCCACAACGAGACAAGATCCCGCTCCCCTCGAAATGGTGACCGGCGAGGGTTACCTGCGCGCCTCTCCATCAGCCTAGTTGAGGCTTGGCGCCGGAGAATGCATGGGGACACGAGGACACTGGATGTCATGTGGATAAACCAATAAAATTTATCCAGCCGAGATTGTTATTGCATTTGTGCCCGACTTGCAGTGACGATCCGGCGGAAAAGACTCGCTGCTATTCGCCATGGACAACGAAAGAGACCGGAATACGCCCCGCTCATGCTGGCAGTTGATCAAGCCATGGTCAGCTGTCTTTGTGCATATTGCGGAGTAATAGTAGCGGTAGGCTTCCTACTTTAAAGGTCATTGGGCCTTTCGTTGCGCAGGAGCGAGGAGAGGATTCTGCTGTGCCGTTCATGTTACCGATATGAAAACCATCGTGGCCTGTCAGCGTCTGGCACTTCGACTGTTTCTCCTGTACACGGTGTCAGCAATTTTCGCCATGGGTCAAGGAGCTTCCAATCTGTCGCCTCCGTACTATCCCGCCCCTTATGGCGGCTGGGCTCCAACATGGAGTGACAGCTACACTCGTGCTGTCACTCTGGTGGAGGCTATGACTCTTGCTGAGAAAGTCAACATTACGGCTGGAACGGGCATGTACATGGGTGAGTGAATCATATCCAGCCCAACTTCATTTACGCAATATATGCTGACTTGAGAACTAGGGTGAGTTGTATGCAGTTAATTCAACTAGAATGCATTGCTTACTTAGTCTTAGCCGATGTGTGGCCAACACTGGAAGCGCGGAGCGTGTCGGTTTCCCTCAGCTCTGCTTCCAAGACGGGCCACTCGGTGTCCGAACGACCGGAAACATCACTGCTTTCCCCGCCGGCATCACCACTGGCGCCACGTTCGACAAGAAGCTCATGTACGAGAGAGGCGTGGCGCTGGGCGAAGAATTCCGCGGCAAGGGCGCGAACGTCTATCTAGGTCCCTCAGTTGGGCCCATTGGCAGGAAGCCAAGAGGCGGTAGAAACTGGGAAGGCTTCGGCTCAGACCCTGTGCTCCAGGGAATCGCGGGAGCTGAGACGATCCGAGGCGTCCAAGAGCAAGGTGTCATTGCGACCATCAAGCACCTGATTGGCAATGAACAGGAAATGTACCGAGCTTCGTTCTGGCAGAAGGCGTATAGCGCAAACATTGGTGAGTCGCAGCACCTAAGAACTCCGAGGGGTGAGGAGGCTAATCGCAATTGAATAGGTGACCGGGCTATGCACGAGCTTTATCTCTGGCCTTTTGCTGATGCCGTCCATGCTGGCGTTGGTTCTGCAATGACCGCTTACAATGATGTATGGCACCGTGAGACAGAATTGATTGAAATGCATCTAACCTTTCTTTAGGTCAATGGTTCATCTGCCTCCCAAAATAGCATGATTATCAGTGGGCTCCTTAAGGACGAGCTCGGATTCCAAGGCTTCGTCATGACTGACTGGCTCTCTCACTATGCTGGAGTCGCCTCTGCGCTGGCTGGTCTTGATATGTCCCTCCCAGGAGACACATTCACAAACTCTATCCCTCTAGTGGGATATAGTCACTGGATGGGTGAGCTTTCAAAGTCTGTGTTGAATGGCTCTGTTCCTGTTGATCGCCTCAACGACATGTGCACTCGAATCGTCGCGACGTGGTTCCAGTTTGGCCAGGACCAAAACTATCCAAAGCCAAACTTCCATGCTTGGGTCAGCACTGCAGAGGGGGCGCTATATCCTGGAGCGGTAGTCAGTCCAAGCGGCTTGGTCAACGAGTTCGTCAATGTCCAGGGCAACCACAAGGCAATTGCAAAGCAGGTTGCGCAGGAAGCCATCACCCTTGTCAAGAACAACAATTCCTTCCTGCCGCTGAGTACCTCCGGCCAATTCACTGTATTTGGGACCGACGCACAGGCAGACCCCAGTGGAATCAATAACTGCCTTGATAAGTCTTGCAATGGAGGAACGCTCACGATGGGTTGGGGATCTGGTAGTGCGACGTTGCCATACCTTGACGACCCCATCACCTCTATTCGTAAGAAAGCAGCAAAGGTTACGTACCATGCCAGTGACACATTCCCGAACGTTGGTACTCCTGGGGATGATGAGATCGCACTCGTATTCATCAATTCGGATTCTGGGGAAAACTCGCTCACAGTTGAGGGCAACCACGGAGACAGAGATGCCACCGGATTGGCGGCATGGCATAACGGTGACGAGTTGGTTAAGAAGGCTGCGGCTGCCTACAAGAGTGTAGTAGTGGTCTATCACACTGTCGGCCCCGTGATAATGGAGCCCTGGGTCAACCTGCCTTCCGTCAAAGCGGTTCTGGTTGCTCATCTTCCGGGCCAGGAGGCTGGAGACTCTCTGACCGAAGTCTTGTTTGGTGAGGTTTCACCCAGTGGCCACTTGCCCTACACAATCCCCGTTTCCGAGGACCAGTATCCCGAGTCGCTAGATATTGTAGAAGGTGCAGGTGTCCAGGATACCTACTTGGAGGACCTCTATATCGACTATCGCTTCTTCAACAAGAACAACACCAAGCCTCGTTATGCTTTTGGACACGGCCTCAGCTACACGACGTTTGAGTTTTCCGAGCCGTCAATCACATCAGTAACAAAGCTCACTCGCGACCTTCCAGCAAGATCTCCGAAGGGCACGACCCCTGTATCTTCAATGAACCGCACCATTCCTGCAGCATCGGAGGTCTACCAACCCAGCGGTTTTTCCACGGTTTGGCGTTACCTATACAGCTGGGTCTCGAATGGAGACGCCGACAATGCGTACAAGATCGGCAAAGAGGGCACGTCGAAGTATCCTTATCCAGAAGGATACAGTAGCGAACAAAAAGCCGGACCAGCAGCTGGTGGGCCAAATGGAGGAAATCCGGCACTTTGGGAGACTGCATGGACCTTGTCCGTTACCGTCACTAACACCGGCAGCAAGGCAGGAAAGGCGTCCGGTCAGGTGTATGTCCAATTCCCAGATGGGAACGGCTATGACACACCTATCATTCAACTTCGAGATTTCGAAAAGACTGCAACTCTGCAGCCGGGAGGAAGTGAGAAGCTTGAGTTCACGATCAAACGCCGTGACGTCAGTGTTTGGGACGTGAAGGAACAAACCTGGGTTGTTCCGGGACTAGACAGTGGATACAAGCTCTGGATCGGCGATAGCAGTGACAATCTGCATTTGTTTTGTAATACGGCGAAGCTTGGATGTGAAGAGGGGGTTGATTCCCCGGTATGAGGGCTAGGATGTCGTGGGGAATTGGCGGTTATAGTTTCGAATTCCTTCTGGTTTTGGACACGTATGTTAGTTGTCTTAAAGTAATCTATTGGTCAAGTACAATTGACGCCGCTTTTTCGTTGTGAATTTCTCATGCTTGAGCATACAAGTGATCTTTTGATTGAACGAATCCTAGAAAAAGCGGTTGTTATAGCGTTGCGATTAAACTCTATCTGGAGATGCTAATCAGAATCAGTATCCCTCGCTGGCACCATAAAGGGCCGGAACTCTGGCAGAAGATCGTCGTCTTTCTTCAGTTCACTTTGCCTGGCACCTATTGTGGGAAGCCATACCATCAAGTTACGAGGATCCCTCTGACCAAGGTCTTCGTTACGGACTCGCTCCTCTCTATTGAACTCTCGGGCATTTACCCCTGACTCTCGCAACTCGTTGTCCGGCCTCCGAGCTTGGAGACTATTAATCCACCCTTTGTCATCGGGCCCAAGTTGGAGCTGTACAAATGGGGGGTTAAGATTCTGCCAATCACCTTTGTGGCGAGCCAGGAATTCCTTTGCGTTTTCTTGTGTCTCAAGTGTCACCCAGACCTTGTCGGCACTGGAATCGGCTCTCAAGATCGCGGTCATGGGACCGGAAATCGAGCGTATCTCCTCATCGACATGATCCACTGGACCGCCTTGCGAGAGCAAATATTCCACGCTTTCAAAGGCCTTGAGCATGATTGCATTCCACAGAGCAGTCGGTCCGGTTACATACCTCCCGCTGCCGAGGTGAATGTCTGCGCCATAACTTTCAACGAGGAGCTGAACCATCTCATGTTTATTGTTCCCTGCCGCGGCGTAGAGAGGCTTCACCCCAGGAGGATTGCGATGCTTGTTGGGGTCGGCGCCGTATTTCTCGATTATGAAACGGGCACACTCAATAGATCCACCTCCGACAGCTTTGTCCAGAAGATGCTGAATGTTGAGTTTCTGTCCTGCGGGAAGCTGGTCAAGGGACATTGTCTCGTGCTCTGTGATATCAAAGCGATTGATGAACTCGAACTTGTCGAGGCGATTCTGTACTATAGCGTCATAGGCACCAAAAACGAACGGTTTGTGGAGCTCTTCTGGCAGGTCGAAGGGGAGAATGTCACCTTCCAGGTTCGTTGGATACTGATAGCTGAGGAGCAGCTTGAGAGATTCTAGAGGCCCATCCATCGCTGCCCCAGGCGTGGCGTTCACGATGGCTTGTCTCTCCGTCTCCGTGAGCAGCTCGGACTTTGTCTGCCCGTTCTGTGCCTCCGTCGGATACCCGCCTCTTTCGAGTAAGAAACTCAGCGCTTCAAAACCGTTCCTTGCTGACGCAGCACCTTTGATTGATAACGGGGTTACCCACACTCCTGGCTCTTCTCCCGCGCGGCTCTTTCTCTTCCTTTGTGAGCCGTGGAGGGGATGCTCTAATAGCAATCTCAGACTGTCAACATTGCCGTGGACAGCTCCAAGCTCGAGCGCATCCGCACCAGCATATTCGTCCTGTTGATCTTTAGGCAGGTCGTCGTTGACATTCGTTTTCGCGGTCGGATCAGCACCCTGCTCGAGTAGATAGCGCACAACACTTGGCTCGTGTGCGCCGATAAGTAGTGGCGTTCGACCCATGATGTCGCGGACATCCACGTCCACTTGACCCTCCTCTATGAAGATCTTGAGGCATCCAACGTGGCCACGGGCGGCCGCTGCGTGAACTGGCACCATGTATGGGTCATCTCTATCTGGAATCTCCCCATTCTGTTTGGCTTCCTCGTCGGCCCTCTCATCTTCTTCAGACAGTGGTGACATATCCGGGTGCACCTTCAGACCGGTGGCAACGAGGCATCGGACCAAAGCCTCATCGCCGCGGAGGGCAGCTTCGTACAACATGTTTCGCCTGTGAACTGCTTTTGGGTAGTTTTCCAGAACCTCCTTGAGCTTTCTAACCCGCTCTCCCGGGTCGGAGACCAGCCATATTCTTGCTTGCTGAAGGGGATCACGGCCCAGTTGGTCGTAGTACTCGTAGTCGTCGAGCCAGAGGCAGTGGCCTGCCGGAGCAATGGACAGCGCCATGCCTGGGGGAGGCTCCGGGATGTCTGGCTTTGGAGGCGGAAGTACCTTGACCATCTTGTCTAACGGGTCTGCGAATCTTTCGGAAGTATTATTTTCAGTCTTGGACGGAAGTGAAATTTTATAAAGTAGAAGGAAGTAATTATACAAAAAGAAGAACCAAGCTCCAGGAATGCCTCAGGTATTAAGATAATGTAAGTAGGTATCCTCTTTCTAGGCTCCAGCGGCCAATGACATCATATCTTAGGTAGGTACGTACCAATAGATTTAGGCAAGCAGTGGTTTCTTACGCCGTAACGAATCACCAGTCAGCCCTGTGAAACTCGCTCCATCCCGCCCACGCTCTTCACGACTGCTGGGGTCGCGTACGGTCAGGGCGCCGTTCCTGTTGCCCTGGAGTTGCTGGGAAGACCAACCAGGAAGTAGGGGCGACCAAGTTTGGTGAGAAGGAACCCTCGAGTTCAAGTATTTAGCCCTGATTTCGCTCAGAACCAGGTAGATTGTAACGCAGACTTGTTATCGCTCTTCTAACCCGTGCCCGCCCTTGGGTCTTTTGTGCTGACCGTACCCCGAGGACAGAGGCAATACCCAGATCGCCCTCCCAGGCCTCTACAAAATCACTGAGTTCCCTAACCGCGAAAATCTGGTCGCCACCCAGGCCTCACAGCCCGGACAAGGCGCCAACACGAACATGCTGAACTTCGCCTATCAAGATGAAAACGAACCAAGCAAAAATCTTCCTCGATGCAGAGGCGACCTTACTTCCGTTACTTGATCGGATCTGGGGGTTCTTTACTCGCTTGAGGGTAGTTTTATTAGTAGTAGCAATCTAGTGGTGAAATGAGGCTAACCTATGGATTCTAGCATCAAAAAAGGCATGGACATTTTCGTATTGTTGAGCTTGGAATTCAAATTCATTCTAGTTGCTCGGGCATATTGTATGTGGGTTACGAAGTATTTGGTTAATTATTGAGTACTTTACTTGGCTGAATTTGAGTATTCGGCTAACTTTTAAATACCTACTTGGTTAATTATTGACGCAATGATCCATGTCCAGATTGATATTTCCTTAATTCACCACGTTGATTCTAGCTCTTGCTGCATGAGGTGCAATGAGGGCGAAAGCGCGGCGGTCCAATTCGCTCAACTACTCAGTAAAAGTAAGTATTTCCTGTAAGTTGTATCTCAATTCCCATAACGACGAATCTTATCGTCCGCTTCATCGCTGCTATCTGGTGCTGGCCGTTTCCGTGACGATGCCTTTTCTGAACGAGAATTCTCTGCTGCCCCTGCCAGTAGAAGAATCGTCTCTGCAGCTTTACGATCATGATTTCTTGCCTCTTGAAGAGGACTATATCCTCGGGAGTTCAATAGATCCAAGCTGGCGCCGTTCTCGACTAAGAGGCCAACATTTTGCCACGGCCCCTGAGCAGCTGCTACATGGAGCGGAGTGTAATTCTTGTTGCATCTGGCGTCAATGCTGGCACCCCACCTGAGAAGTATACTGATCAATTGAAGTTCGCCATATTTTGCAGCAATAGCCAGTGGCGTCAAACTATCAGGATCCAGGCCGTGCCTCAGCGCTCTCCTGAGAACCGGTATACTGCCTACCGAGGCAACTAGATGGAGAATATTTTGACCATCTTTTCGACGACTTTCTATGTTTGCGCCTGCGTTCAACAAAACTCTCACGGCTTTCCAACAGTCGGACGATGTGTGTCTCACCGCTGCAAGGAGAGGCGTTTCCCCTTTATTCTTGGTTCTGGCCTCCAAGTTAGCTCCCCGGCGGATTAGGTTTCTGAGGAGCCCAACATTGCCCCGGGAGGCAGCAAGATGCAACGCCGTCTTCTTGTCTTTGCCAAGTGTTGCATGTATATCAGCACCTCTGGAGAGGAAGAACTCGGCGATGGTGGTGGGGTGCCCTTGACGGATCGCGTGCAGCAATGGCGACGATCCCTTGGGCAATTCCATCTTATATCACCCGTATTCAAGCAGCAGATTTATAATATCCACGTGTCCGCTCCCGGCTACGGCGCAGAGAGCCAGGCCTCTGTCACCGTCGGCGACGCGCTGCTCCTCCAATTCCCCAATTGAATACTCCGCCATCTGTATGCGACCACGGTTCGCCGCATGAACGACAGGAGGAAAACGAGCTGGATATTCAAAGAACCTAGGAGGTATCACACCAGTCGCGTATCTAGCCGAGTTTCAGCAAGAGAAGCTTCTTCAAGTAGCAGACAAAAAGAGAGAGTTACAAATCGGCCCCGTGTAGTACCAAGCACTGGGCCATGTCGACTAGGCCCAGTGATGCAGCCTGATGCAAAGCAGTTGTCCCGTGTACATTTGCCGCGTTGACGTCAGCCCCGTTCCGCAGAAGAAGCATGACGATACCCTTATGAGTCCTGAACGCCGCGCTCACCAGCGGGGTGCCGGTCAAGGGATGAACCCGATTGACATTGTCCCTTGCCTCAAGCAGCGCTTTGGCCGACAATTGCTTGCCATTCGCACAGGCAGCGCTGGGCGGGAAGCAAGGGTCAGCGTCCGGGTCAGCTCCCGCCTCGAAAAGAACCAAGCGCTCTCTTCCGCCTCGAGATGGAGCCAAGCGCTCTCTTCCGCCCCTACTCGCGAGGCCGACGTGAGTGGTCTGTCTCCTGCTTCATCCGCCACGACTTGCATTAGTAGGTCACTGAGCCGGTCGGGGGAGTTTCTGCAAATGCCGGTCGTTCATATATCCAATTCGTGTGAGCAAATCGAGGCTTTTGATTGATGACAAGCTCGAAAAACCACCCAGTGACGGTAAACGCGGGTTGAAGGCGGGGAAAATAGGTGAAAGGAGCTCCCAGGTCCCACATTTGGTCGGGCGAATCATGTCCTCAGCTGGGCTCAATGGTTGTAATGGTGAATTATGTTTCACTGGAAAGGGGCTCTAATGAAGTGTGTTGAATCGAAACCAATCCAGTAAGTGTACAAGTACACTGATGCCTTCAATATCCCACACCGCAGATGATATAACACAGAGAAAGCAAGCCTATCAAAGACATAGGGAACCTCGGATCCCTGCACCAGCTCTGAACAGGGCTTGTTTGAGCCGCTCCTCACAACCCCTTTGCTTTTGCTTCTCTGCAAATGATTTTGCCTTTTCAATAGCATCCATACTGTATCCATCAGCTCCTTTTTCAAGCAAAATATTAAGGACACTAATCCGACCATGTTCCGCCGCCGCTTCGAGAGCTGTTCGTCCATGAATTAGCGCTGGATCAGCATGGATATTAGCTTCTTTGTCCAGAAGAAGCCTAACAACTCTCACATTCCCGTTGATAGCCGCAAGCTGAAGGGCGGTCCCACCACCATTTACCGCTGGGAAAGCATTGACTTCTGCACCTTGATTGAGGAGGTATTCGACCATCTGGAAGTTGCCTAATTCGCATGCCCGCTGCAGGGGGGTGCGACTTAGACGCTCAAGTGTTGGTTGGTTAACGTCGAACCCATTATCCAGGAGCAACTTCACTATCTGCAGGTTGCCAGACATGACAGCCAACTGGAGAGGCTGGCGGTCACGCCTGGCGCCAGCCTTGAGTAACTGGCTGATCATATCAATGCCCACCGGGTCATATTTCCCGCACCAATTGATGGCATACAAGATAGTGGTAGCATGACCAAGTTTGGAATCATGCGGAGGCACAATGCTGTTCACATCTAGGTTCAACCCCACCAAGAATTCCAGGGATGAACTATCACGAGCATCAAATGTCGTGGCCAATGCCTTCCCGCCGAATCCTTTCTTTCCATTGGGATACATCAAGGCGAAAGCCTCCGATAGGATTTTGAGAAAAGAAGTATTAGAGGCATGAAGAGCAAGTGAGAAAGCGTCCTCGTTGGCTGGATCAGCGCTGTATCTTAGCAAGAGCTGCGCCAATTCAGAGCTACCAACCTCTATTGCTTTTTGAAGTCCAACAGGCTTGGTACCCCGATCGAGAAGAAAAGTCGCCAACTCGACGTGGTTGTTTTCGATCGCCACTTCAAGTGCCATGCTGCGATATCTGAGAATGCGAATCGGCTCCAGTTCATATAAGTATTTGATAATACTCACGTCCCCCCAGCGGGCGGCCTTCTCTAAGTGTTCACTGCTCAATTCTGATGATCCGAAATACCTAACCGTCTTGTATACCAGGTCTTTATCCTGCATTTCTAACGCCGATTGCATTATTTGATCCGAAATATGGTAAGGCGCGTAGTCGCCCCCAGCAAGATATACCATTAGTGTATCGGCGATTTTGGCATGTTTAAGCTCTATTGCGTCTACAATAGCACATTCCAGTGCTTCCCCGATTCTGGGTGGAGCTCGTTCCAGAAGCTGTTTGAGATAGGGCAAATTGCCCCTCTCCACTGTTGCGATAATTGCTGCTTGTAGATCGGGCAAGGACGGGTCAGATATTCTATCCAGGGCACCCCTTTCCTCCAGATGCCTAACGAGACCGCAATTTTGCGTCCTTATGGCCTCAGCTAGCGGCGTCGTTGGCATTCGGCATCGACCAGTAAAGCCATATTGATGGGACATGTTCCTTAAGCATATGGCTTCCCCATGAGTAATAGCACTTTGCTCCAACATGAGCTCCACCACGTTCTGTTGTCCGCCGCGAATAGCAGCCGAAAGGTTTCCTATAGTCGGTCTAGTATGTTCCAGGAGGTAATTGGTAAGGTCCATGCTGCCCTTTGTTATGGACAGAGTGAGAAGGTGATTGAGATCCTTGCTACTCTTCTCCGCGCAGCTCCCTGCGCATTTCATGTTGCACTCTGCCAAAAGGCCTTTGATGAACTTGATTGCTACCGGTGGCCTCAAATTTTCCACAACGCTACCCAGTCTCCATACTCCTTGCCCACACTCTCCGAATCGTTGAACCTCTCGTGGAATAAACAGTTCGTGATGGTGCTCTGGGGGCACAGCTTGAACTAATACTTCAAGCAGCTGGCAAGGCGTGGTAAAAAAGTCATCTTTGAGCAATCTCACAACAGCATTAGGTTCTTTGTCCAGCAATAACTTTGCGATTTCAGCAGCTTTTTCTGCATTCTTAGGACACCGAGATTTGTTTTGCATATTTTCCCATATAACGCAGTATTCTTGGTAGAGTGAGGTCAATGCGCAACTTCTCGAGACCGAATCCCCGGGAACGTGAACTTTGGCTCCGTAATCAATGAGCATGCGGACAAGGGCAGGCTGGTGCAAATAAGAAGCCAATGAAAGCGCAGTAAAAGTTTCGCCGTGCAGTTTAGAAACAATCCCATTCACGTCGATCTCATTGGCTTGGCCATGGGTGGTTTTCAGAACCATGTCGACAAGATCATAATCGCCTGCTTCGATGGCAGCGCGGAATAGATTGTCAGCTAGGGGCTTGGAAATACTTAGTATTCCAGACTGGAGGTATTTCTGGATGTTTACTGTCATCTCAGACGAGGACTTCAGTACACCTAGAATAATAGCACTCGGGACGCCTTCTAGGCCCGCGAAATTATTAGCGATTGAGAGGAGAATCCTTCCGTGGATTTCGGACAGTGAGATGGTCGTAGAAACTGCGCCGGAGTTGTCAGGGCATTCGCCTTCGAAGAAATCATCGCGAAGTAGCGACGCAAGCCGCTCAGACACGGTCTGAACAGTGTTACTCGCTAGATTCGTGCATATACTGTTCGGGGGCTCTTGAAGCATGTTTTGGACCATGAGCTTAATATTTGCATCAGAGAGGACGAATCGGGGCTCATCCTGACATGCAACCAGAGGAGGTATAGAATTGTAAATACTACTGCTCCCCCTGTAATTTGGTAGAAGTAGTGTATCGGAAGAGAGACAGGGTGTTTCTCGAGATATACGTCGGAGCATTGTATTTGTATGCTCATCAGACAGCAGCAACTGGGGCTCGTATTGCGCTACTAAAGCATCTGCTTCATTCCTCGGACTTGATGAAACACACGCAGTAGGATGAAAAAATGGCGAACCGGGCAGGACGCCCTCCCTTATGAAATAGCTCGTTATCTGGCTCAATGTATCAGGGTCCGGCTGAGGTGAATGTAAAGTTGGGTGAAAGATGGTAAGCTGGGAGCTGGGTGTGTTGGCTTCGAGCTGGGTTGCAGTCCAGATTGGATCACTTTGTGCTGGGAGCAAAGTAGCCGGCAGGGGAAGCTCCTCTATATCCATATTCGCATCTCCACGACTCAAAACAGCCGAGGGTAGAGTATCTACAATCGTAGCCTCTGCTTCCTGGTCGGAATATTCTGAAAATTGGCCGTGTCGCCAGACTTCTAGGCGCCACAAACGGGTGTGCGCTGAAGGTAGTAACTCTGCGAGATGAAGGCGTTGTCAGTTAGGCTCGTCATACTTTGTTAAGAATTGATTTACCATTGATTTCTTGAGGTACCCTATTCTTTCCTGGAAAATATCGGCGGCGGGCCTTCTCTATTCTCTTGTGCTCGAGGATTTGGTCGCCGAGCCTTACGCGTGGTTTGAGGCCCTGCCGTTCCAGAGTACCGTATAATGGGAGCAGCGCCTCCCAATCCTGTCTCTTAAGGTATTTGGCCGCTCTCCATCTCTTGAGTTGTGCTTCATACTGAGCTGTCCTAATTTTCAGTCAGTCTCTGTAAAAGCAAGGATCCGTTGGACGAGATCCAAAGGCGACAAAAGAGTCATACGCAACTGGAACACACAAAGAGGGACGATTTACTTACGTGGCTTCAAACTGATGTTCATCGCGCATGACTTGCACGACATTCCTGGAGCTCGTCTTGGCGCTATCAAGCGGGAGTCCTTCGTGGAATCGAAGGCCCAAGATTGTGTCCTTGTGCCGTTCCCACACTTCGAGTGGGATTTCTTTGCAAGAAGAGGTCATGTTACTTTTGTTGAAGAGTCGAAGTGGGCACTAGCAGCCGAAAATCGTGCTGTGGTTTGCTCTTGTTTTGGACTGCCTTGAGTCGTCGTGATTTAAGTAGGTGGGTTTTTATGACGGGCTTCGTGAGTCGCGGACCCCAGAAACTGATCCCAAGAATTTGGGCCCTCCAGGTTTTGGGCTTCAGGTTTTGGGCTTCAGGTTTTGGGCTCCAGGTTTTGGGCATTGCAATTATTGGTAGGTACCAAAGTATCAGAATGTGTGCACTTCTGTCATATCCGCCCTTGCCCACGCGACTGCACACCCAGAACCTCCAGTGTTGAATTTCGACACAATATCAAAACAATTAACATGGGGAAAAGCACAATACTAAGCGCATAATTATCAAATAATTCATTGTCTTCTTCCTATTATGTTGAGTATAATCAAAACGAAAATTAGGTCTCTACCTCCCATACGCGAAAAGAGCATTGAGTACCTAGGTACCTATGCCATGTTTTAATTCAGAGGCTTATGGCCATGCAATCTATTGCTACCTAGGCACCTAATCAACGTGTGCCACGTATGTCACCATTTGGGCTTTTGCATATTACACGAGACACAGTAATCACGAAGACCAAAGAGGTAAATTTTCTTCCAAATGAATTATCGTAATCATCGTTATCGAGAAGCCTCCCTTCGCCTGGTCCACTCACCAACCATCTTCGGTAACCCATGTCAAGGTCTAAGGCAGGGTGTAGCCTCCGTCGATCACAAGGTTGGCTCCTATGACTTGGGTCAGTATTACTCTTTCTCGAATATGCCATTATTGCTATGCTTACCAGTCATGTAGCTGGACGCCTCGCTTGCCAGGTATACGTAGGCACCCTTCAGCTCAGCTGGATCACAGAAGCGCACACCAGGGATCAGCTCAGGCCACTTCGAGGTCCATTTCTCCGGGATGGTCGCAATCACTGAAACACCGTTAATACAAGACATGCACGATCAAGAACAATGAGCAGGTGATTCCACATACTATCCGTAGCAATGAAGCCAGGCGAGACGCAGTTGACGCGCGTAAACTCAACCCATTCCACCGCCAGCGACTTGGCCAGGTGCGTCACGGCCGCCTTGCTGGCATTGTACGCGGCCTGCGGCTGCGGGATGTTGACGAGGATGCCCGACACACTGCTGGTGAAAATGATGCTCGCGCGGCCGTCGCCCCCAGCCTCCTTCTGGCGCTGGAACACCTTGGCGGCGGCCTGCGCGGTCCAGAAGGCGCCGTGGAAGTTGACGTCGAGCATCTCCCGCCACTGGTCCTCGTCGTAGTCGATGGCGGGAATGTGCGCCGCGATGCCCGCGTTGGCCACGCAGATGTCGAGCTTGCCGCCGCCCAGCTCGCTGGTAATCTTCTCGACTGTCGCCGTGACGTCGTCCCTGGACTTGACGTTGCAGCGGTACGCCTTGACGGTCGCGCCGTTGGCCGACTGGGAGATTTGGGAGGCGACGGCGTCGGCCTGGCTGCCGTCCGTGCTTGAGTAGGTGATGGCCACCTTGGCGCCTGCTTCAGCGAGACCCTGGGCGACCTCGAGGCCGATTCCGCGGCATCCGCCGGTGACGATGGCGGTCTTGCCAGCCAGGCTGAAGTGGGACAGCACTGGCGCCTTGGGGTTGGAGTGAGTAGCGAGCACCATGATGGGCGTTTAGAGTTAACCGAAGAGATGAAGTTTGGAAGATTCCTTCACAAGCTCAATATCTTTCTTCAGATCTAATATCTACTACATAAATGTCCGACAGCCGGAGGGGCAACTGTCTATCGAGAGGGGCCCGTGGGGCTTGTGTTGAACCGCGCGAATCGACGGTCATCCTGAACACACCAAAACTGCCCAGCGAGGTACCCAAAAGAATTCCATAGTGCGCATGACGGGCGATACACGAAGTTCTGTGGACAGAATCCGGAGATCGGGTGCCTGCCACCCCGCGCCAATTCTCCTTCCTGCGGGGTCGCTTCTTATTCCATTGAGAGGATGCCGGTGGGTGAATTCTTTGCATGATCACGCGGCGCGTTGTTTTCTTTCCTTCTTTTTTTCTTCTGTCTTCTTTCTGTCGCTGATTCTGCTTCGTTTATGATACTATGGTGATAGGTACTTGATTATTTCCAGTAGACAAGTCACAGGTACAGAGAATGTCCTCATCATGGACGGACGTGATGATGCAATTACTTTGGGAAAGTTAGAGAAGTGTGCATAGTAGCTAGTCCCTGACATGATGAGTTTATGTGCCGCTTCAATCTGAGTTTGAGCGAGAAAAAAAAAACCCAGTGTAATCAGCCATTGTTTATTTCTGAAGTTCCTTAATTCATGCGAGAAGTGCATGAAGATTTGTGGTAATTAATTTGCATTGGAGTTGCAGTACAGTAATGCCACGTTTACAAAAACCCCTCACAACTTCTACGATTCTCGAATAAAAATTAATAAAATAGGATAAAATATAAAATCATCAGATGATAATTAATAGTTAACGCATTCTTTTATTAGAGCTTTATGCTCGGTTCGAGAGAGAAATAGCACAAGTGATGCCATTACACCAACTGCTTTAGGGTAGGTTAGAGGAATTGAAGGCAGTTTGGAGCTTCGGCGAAAACGGCGGGGTCAATCCAGCCTCTGGTATCATATCATCCAGTTCAATTGTGCGTCATACTCTGAGGACTGAGATAGCTAGTAAAGGGGGAGAACACTGCCGACGTTATCTCCCTGCACTTGGCATGGGTAGTTGCGTTGAGAGAAGAGGCATCAAGTGATTTCTCCAGCCTCTCTAGCACAGAGCCCGTCCCTCGCTCTAACGGAAATAACACCGAATGTTTGATGTTGGCTCATTAAAGCCTCACCGAGCACTGCCTGGTGATGGCATCAAATAGGGGCTTCACTCAATGCAACCCCTCGAAGTGCAGATCTATGGGCCAAGAGGCCTAGAATGCCCAATATCATGACCTCGGTATTGATCTAAGAAGGCTGTATGCAGCTAGGGATCTTCCGAGTCGCGTGGTTCTGAGACGAGGCCAATTAGGACATGCTGCTAGTCCAGACCGGCCAGCTTGGGCCCTTGGCATTTTGAGCGACGATCCCGAGTGTTGGACGTTGGAGTGCGCCGAGTCAAATATCGAGATCAGCAGAGGCGACACACGGTGAGGGCTTCATGATGATGCTCCATGTTGCGAGCCTAGCCGTTCGAGCGAATTAGTCTAGCATGGCACCCTCTTTGAATCCTTACTTTGATGGGCATTAACTAAAAACCCTGGCAGTTAACAACGTGCTGATATGATATGACAGACCCCTCCGTGGGGGCCTTTTGCCCGAGAAGAGGTGGGATTTTCATTACTCCTGCCGATCTAATCACCGCTCGTGGGCAACGGCCTGTCAGCATGGGACTGTCTGCCACATCCTGGCATCCTCTAGCACCGGCCACAAATTGGGATCACCCAAACGACAGAACTTCCCTCCTCCCTCTCCTCGCCGTGACGTCAATCGGCGCCCATCAGGCTCATTCTGCGGTGTAGGGCTGGGGGGAAATGGCGCAAATCACTCCCAGAGCTTCCGTCAGGGCCCTTGTCTACTTCCCCGGATGCCTGTATTGATCCCTCGAATGTCACTGCCCCTGACGCTCCCAACGTCGGTCAGCGCAAGAGGCACTGCGCTGTAGTATTACTGTCCACCTCACTGAAGATCTGCGCTGGTGGGGGAGGGGGGTTGCAATAATCCCATTTCGACAGAAGCCGTGCAGGGGGGATGCAACCTTTCGGATTCGTGAAAGGGCTTGGCCTTTTCGTCTGACATATATGAGCTGCCTTCGCTCTCGATTTGGGATTGCTTCTTCTTTCTCCAGGCTTGATATCCACATTCATCCCATAACACCAACAATCGAGGCTTTCCTCACCACCACTCCTTTAGTAACAAACCACAGTCGCTCATTCAATCGTCCATTTACCGCCAATTTATATCCCACCTATTTTATAATTTTTACTTCTCAAACCCCCACCGCCACAATGAAGTTCTCCGCCGTTCTCGCCTGGGCTTCCCTCGCCCTCGCCGCTCCCACTCCCGCCGCCGTTGAGGAGCGCGACGTCGTTGTCATCTCCACCTTTGTCAGCACCGTCCAGAAGCTCGAGACCACCGTCAAGACCCAGGTCGACGACATCGGTATGTTCTCTGCTCCCCATCGAGCGCCTTGAATTGAAGAGGTAACTAACGCGCAACAGTCTCCACCGCCAAGATCACCAGCAACGTCGACGAGATCGTCTCCAGCGTCAAGGGCAACCTCGCCACCATCATCACCGCCGTCACCGAGTCCACCTCGACCATCGCCCAGATCGCCGCCGCCAGCCCCGCCGACGCCATCAAGGGCCTCAAGAAGGCCGACGTTAAGGAGGTCCTCGTCGCCGTCAAGTCCGTCAACAACATCGTCTCCGAGCTCAAGATCGCCGTCTCCACCATCGTCACTGATGTTCCTTCCGCCGTCAAGACCGCCCTCGCCGACGAGATCAACCAGGTCAAGGGTCTCCTCTGGCCCTTCCTCCAGCCCGTCCTGACCATCGTCGGCGCCGTCGAGAATCTGGCTAGCTCCCTCGGCATCAAGACCGACCAGCTCGTCAGCGCTCTGTCTCTGGTTCTTGGTCTTGTCAACGGTATCCTCAACCTTGTCAACCTCCCCGAGATCCTGTAAATTGGTTCATGACCATGAGTCTCTGTGTATGGGGATCTTGAATGAGGTCTCCGAGCATGTCAACGGCCCTGTGTAACGTCTAGCGGAAAATGTGTGGATGGAGCTTGGCAACAAGCATTTTGTCCTAGTAATGTGGCTTGGTAGCGTGTTAGTGCTATAATTCAAACATATCAAGCATCATCAATCGTGCCCAGTGTCTAAAGTGCAACAGTAAATATATCGAAATGAACAAGATTCTAGACTTGTTGTTCTAAGTATCTGGTGACTGTAAAGAATATCTCTGTGAACTTTGTGTACAAAAGAAA